AGTAAATATAATTAGCATATAAAACCTTAAAACTTAAAAATGCAAAGTATAATCAATTCTTTAGAAATATTTTTTTTGTAAATATTAAACAACACTATATCACGCCACTTTTCACAAATTCTAAAAAAAAATAATTTTTATGATCCGGCCTAATTTGTTAGTTTTAGATTACCGCTTATAAGGTTGAAGATGTCTTTCTGTTGTTTGAAATATAACAAACATTTCTTGAAATATATCGCGAGCTACGTTTATTGAAATACTCGATTCACTAGTTTTGTTATTTGCATCGTTTTTGTTTTTAAAATCGTGGCTATTTTTCTTTTCCATCGTAACGAAGAAAAATATATTAACTAATTAATAATAAGATATTTTCTAGATAAGTTTAATGTATATTTGTTTTTACTTTCCTCAAAAAAAGAAATTATTCTTTGGTATAAAACGCGTCGGCTTACAACAAAAGCCAACAACGATTGATATATATATATATATATATATATATATATATATATATATATATATATATATATATATATATATATATATATATATATATATATATATATATATATATATATATATATATATATATATATATATATATATATATATATATATATATATATATATATATATATATATTAGGGCCCTGCGAAGCTTCAAAATTTCGAATCGAATCAATAAATTGATTCGAGATTCGATTCGAAAGATCTCTAAATATTCGAATCAAGATTTTTTTACCCTAACCATTTTAAAGGTTTTTTTTTTTTTTTTTATTTGACGCAGTTCTAAAACAGGTTGCTATAAGTAAACAGCGTTTCTTATAGGTTGTTTTTTAGTGGTTCGTCTTCTAGTGTAGTGTAATTTGATTTTTGTACAAAGAGCAATTGAATTTAAGAAACATTCTTTTATAATTTGATGTTGTAAAAAGAAACAAATCAAAAAACATCTGTTGAACGTTTATTATTTGGAAAACAATTATTTTAGAAAGCGTTTTTTTTTTAAATTCATTTTTGAATTCGCAAACGCTTTAAAATTACCTATATTTCTTATTTATGTAATGGCGGGAATTATTAAGTCGTACTTTGAAGATGGATCAGTTTTATTTATGTAAAACGTGCAAAGCCACTTTACGTGTACAAAGCTCTGGCACAACATCACATCTCTGGAGTCACTTGGAAAGAAAGCACAAGACGCTTCATACTCAAGCTGAAACAGATCAAGCTAAAAAACGCAAATTGTCGAATCCAGATGTTTCGGAAAGCATTTGTTTAAAAAAATCTAAGCAAAGCGTTATGTCAGATTTTTTTAACAAACCCATCTCAAAAAATGACACAAGAAAATATTTGACCAAGCTGTATTGGAATTTATTGTTGCAGATGGACGTTCTTTTGAGACTTCGGCTGTAAGGGTTTTATAAAATTGTGTTCAACTCTTAGTAATAAAAATTATAAACCTCCCGATCCATCTACTCTTTCACGTAAAACAAATGACTTAAAAACAAAATTATTACTGTTTTAAATTTACTTTTCGTGTCGAAAAGTAAATTTAAAACAGTAATACTTGCAAAAATGTCAGGTTGTAAATGTTCCATTACTTTTGATTATTGGAAAGCTACAAATAATAGCAACTATTTAGTTTTAGCGGTACATTGTATAACTCTAACAGAATGGAAGCTTTTATCGCGTTGTTCATCTGTGGTAAATCTTGAAGATATTAATGCAGATTACACTTCTCAAAAAACAAAAGAGGTTATTATTAATCAACTGCAATGTTCATATATTGAAATAGAAAACGTTCTATGTGCAACCACATACACAACAAACGCAATGTTTACCATTGCTAGTCTTTTAGGAATTACATGGCAGCCATGTGCTGCACATGTTCTTCAACTATGCATCAAAAGTGCTTTGAATGTTTAACAAGTGATAAACCTTTTTAGTTTAATACATAAAATTGCAGGTTTTTTCAACAGTTTTTCTGTAGGTCTAAAATGTTTAAAAAAACATCAACTTGAAGAAGGACTTCGAGAATCCTGTCCACCACTTGATATTGTAACCAGGTTTAACAGTACATTTAAACTTGTGAATTGGTTATGTGAAAATTGTACGGCAATAACAATGGCACTTACGGAATGCACTTTAAGTGGTAGGTGCTCAAAATCTCCTCCTCAAGCTCTATCGGAGGCAATAAAAGATATTCAAAAAAAGTGCATTCCATTTTTAAAACCAATATCGGATGCAACAACGCTACTAAGTACTAATACCACTGTCGCTATTAGTCTGATTAAACCTTGCATTTATACTTTAATAAATCAAATAAATTCGTTAAGTTGTAGCTTTATGAGCAGCATTAAAAAGGAGTTACTTTCGCAACTATATGCACGTTTTAATTTAGCAAATGTTACGCTACTTACCTTAACATATTTAGACCCGAGGTTTAAAGCCGTATTGCACACTGAAAACGAGCTTTTAATTGTGAAAAACCATCTAATTGAAATGTCAGTTGATTTTAAGCTATGCGAAATCACTTCTTGCTTAAGTTCTATAAATAACAACAATATTGAAAAACTACCAAAAAATTTACTTGACGCTGTATTTAATCAAGTTAAAGAAAAAGAATCTGAAAAACAGAAAAATTTTACAAAAAAAAGCATCGAAGATTGCATAGTTACGGAAATGGGTATCTACGTTTGTTCGCAAACCATAAACAATGATAATTGCCCTCTAGAATATTGGAAAAAAAAACGAGAACATTTTCCCTGTTCTTGCGCAGGCGGCTCGATCTGTATTAGTTGTACAAGCAACAAGTTGTTCTTCTGAAAGAGTCTACTCAATTGGTGGTCATGTAATAAGTTATTTACGTCATTCTCTATCTAATTATAATACGGAAACATTAATTTGGGCGCAAAAAAATAAAGATATTATATTTTAACCCTTTTTCTTTTTTATTTTATCAAAAAATTATGTTTTATTTCTTTATTATGTTACCAGGAAACGATGTTTTATTTCTTTTTTATTTTTAATGTGAAGTGGAATGCAATGAAAATGCTGAGTGCCTTTAAATAGCTTCAAGCCGTTGCAAGGAATAGAAATGATCTTTTATTTTTTGAAATGTATACTATGGAAAAAATGCTTAAATTAAGATTTCCTTAAAATGTTGATTCGATTTGCGAATCAAGACCTGGTTCGATTCGAAACCAATAGGGCTGTTTCGCAGAGGCCTAATATCCTAATATATGTATATATATATATATATATATATATATATATATATATATATATATATATATATATATATATATATATATATATATATATATATATATATATATAAAGAGAGAGAGCGGAATTTATATTTACTAAGAAGTTCTAAGTTAAATTTTAACCGATGTTGTATATATGAGCAGCTATATATGTTTATATATGTATTATACAAATATATATAATATATATAAACAACATTATATGTATTATATATATAAAACAACATTTTGATTGACACACACACACATTTATATTTATATAAATATATAAATACAACTAAGACAATTTTGTAACTTCAATTTATTCAGCAATTTTTTTAGACTGGGGCTGATATCATTTGATATCTGGAATCACGATCGCTAATTTCATTCTAACAATAAAAATAACTACCGCGTAAGTAGCCATTTTTAACGTTGGAATAAAACTTGACCGTCAACAAAACACATTTTGTTTTTAGCATACAAATCCAAATTTTTCCGTTAAAAAGTGTTGAAATTCAAAAATACTTTTTTATGGGAAGGTATTCTTCTTTTAATGGGCTCCTCAAATACATATCTGATTATGTTTAAGAGCTCTATAGTTTGACCAGGATCTGACATATTCTATTTTTCAGTTTTTGACTCATAATATAATCTTTCATTAACTTTCTCAAATAAGCTGAAATTTTAGTTATATTATTTCAATTCAAAATGCAAACGACAAAATTGTAAAATGTGATGGTTAAATTAAAAAAAAAAATAGTTTTTTTTGAAAAGAATTCCGTGCAAAAGTTTAGAAACAACTGAATTTTGATTAATACTTATTTCTGAAAAATAACTAAAATTAACTAAAACCTAAAAAATTACAATTTTTCAATAAGACAGTTATTATTTGCTTTCAAAACAGCATCACAGAGATGAAGCATCAACTAAATTTATGAGGAATGTTTTACCAACTTCTTAAGTGATTGATTTTTTACCAACTAATTGCAGGTTGATGTACTCTTAAAGATGATTAGTAGGATTGAGATCTGGGCTCTGTTAAGATCATTCTAGAACTTTGATCATTTGGATTATTATCTTTTTGTAAGATCTATTTACAATTTATGTATTCATTTTATACTTTTAATGCATTACATTCTTAATGATGTCTAAATAAATATTCTGGTCTGTTATACCTTCTATGCATGAATGGGACACACACATTGCCACGACCAAAATACCCCCAAACGATAAAATTTTTTGTGGTTAGTATTTTAAATTGAAATAATATAAAGCACTTCTGGCAGCGTAATTGAGAAATTTTGTGAAATGTTATGCATTAAAACTGAAAAAAAATTAGCGTTTCTCTACTTAGGCACACTTCTGTATTACAGTTTGTTTTTATAAATAAAATATTGTTAAATTAAAAACTAAAACATTGATATTGTTAAATTATGATATTGTTAAATTAAAAACTAAAACATTACATGGCGATTAATACAAATTGTCTATAAAATGTTATATTTATTTAAAAAACGTAAATAATTTACATTTATGATTAAAATTTTTTTAAAAAGTGTACAAAAATAAATTTAAAAAAGTTTTCTTTACAAGTTTTTTTAATACATTTTATAAAAATTTCATAAAAAAGACCATAGTAAAAAGTGTTAAAATTATTATAATTTAAAATTATATATATATATATATATATATATATATATATATATATATATATATATATATATATATATATATATATATATATATATATATATATATGCATATTTATAAATAATAAAAATTACTTAAAAAAGTGCAGTCTGTGTGATGGAAACAATGGGGTTGAACAGTATATAATTCATTCATTTCTGAAAAATTTACAATCTAAAAATTAATTTGCTGAAAGATAGTCATAACTTATTGGCGCCACAACATCACCATTAGGCATTACAACGCCAACAGCGCCATGCCCTCCAGCTGACCAATTAACTAAATTGAGTTCCAAGTAATATTTGACGCCAACATTTAAACTGATTGGAGATGATTTTTGTTCAGAGAATCTGTTAAAGCAAAGTTTCAATTATTCGTTTTTCTATTCATACTTTTTATCAGCAATTATTTATTTTATACTCTATTAAATTGTATGAAAACATGGACGTAATAAAATAAAAATACGCATATAATAGCAATATAAATAACATTTAGTTACTTGTTTATACACACACACACACACAGACACACATATAAAAGGTGCGTTATTTTTCAACAATTATTCAAATTAAATCTGGATTAGTTGACTGGTTAGGTAAAAATGATTTCACGCTTAAAAGTATTTTTTTGAAACCCATTTCTAAGATCCCCGCTTATACAACATGTGCACCGAAACCCCCATTTTTTTTAACCAAAAAGCGGGTATTTTAAAAATCAAACTTAAGCACCTGTTTTTTTTTCTTCTGTAAACTCGAAAAAACCTAAATCTTAATTTGTAATTGATTGAGTTTACATTAAAAAGTATGTATCAACTTAGACTGAGAAAAATAGCCTTAAATTTTTTAGGAGTATTTAAATAAATTAACGCTTGCGATCGAATATAACTCACGTCTGTAACAAACAAACGCAATCTTTATTTTTTGAACTTAAGTTCGTACCAGACTTTTGAAAAGGTCAAAAATATTTTTTGTAATAAATTGTCATTTATAACATTTACTTTAAATCAAAAATCAAAAAAAGATTAAAAAAAAATAACGATGCTACTAAAAATCACAAGATCATTATCAAAGACATTTTTATTTATATATAAAAAGGTGTTGAGAAACTTTCTGAAACACAGTTTGCCGCAAATGAGATTATTCTTGATTTTTTAATTCATTACAGGTATGATTAAAACATTGAATTGATTACACTGGCCAACAAAAAAATTTTTTTTTTTTTTGCTGCCGAGGATATTTTTCACGAATTTATAGTATATCGGGTGTGCTGATTTCAGAAATGACATTAGTTTTCCACGATTGGCTCTAGTTCTTGAGATACAGGGTGTTCCAGATATATTCTTATACAAATATCTTCGTTCATGCATATTTTACAGTAAAATAGTTTTATTTCTTTTTAAAGGGCATACCTTTATATATATATAAATATATATATAAATATATATATATATATATATATATATATATATATATATATATATATATATATATATATATATATATATATATATATATATATATAATTTTTCCTGTTTTTAGAACACAATGAGTTCTTCACGAAGAGGATGTTTGAATAACCCCAATGCATTCTGCCACATCTGTGGTGAATATTGCCAGGAGAGCCAAAGAAGAAATATTACTAACTTTGTGAAGCAAGCATATCTGGCATACTTTGGAATGAAACTCGGAGACCAAGATAAGTCTTGGGCTCCCCATATTGTATGTAAAACATGTGTCGAAAATCTACGTCAGTGGAAAAATGGACAAAGAAAAGGTTTAAAATTTGGTGTGCCTATGATCCGGGTATGGCGGGAGCAAAAGAATCACGACAGTGACTGTTATTTTTGTTTGGTTAATGTGAAAGGTATCAATCGTTTCAAGAAACGTAAATTTGAGTATCCGGATTTGGAATCAGCAAGGCGACCTGTACCACACTCAGACGATGTCCCCATTCCAGTGTTCACTACACTCCCAGATCTAACAGTGTCTGATGAAGAAGATATGCAGAATTTGGTGTGCGAACATGCAGATAGTGGTAGTGAATATGAAGACAGTACTTCTAAACAGCAACAGTTCTCCCAGGAAGAGATCAATGATTTAGTACGAGACTTAAGTCTATCCAAGCAAGATTCTGAGCTTTTAGCATCTAGACTAAGTGAAAAGAACAGTTTGAAGGCCGAATGTAAAATAACTTTTTTTCGGACAAGAGAGGCAGCACTTCTTCCATATTTCATTCAAGAAGAAAAAATAGTATACTGTAGGAACATCCCTGAACTCCTCCTCCAAATGGGGTTACCTGAATACCGACCAGAAGATTGGCGATTGTTTATAGATAGTTCGATGAGAAGTTAGAAGTGTGTTTTATTGCACAATAGCAATAGTTATGCATCCATCCCAATACTTAACTCAACAAAACTGAAAGAGAAATATGAAAATATAAGAATGATGTTGCAGAAGCTTAGATACAATAAGCACCAGTGGTCTATATGTGTTGATTTAAAGATGGTAAACTTCTTACTAGGGCAGCAAAGTGGATATACTAAGTACCCTTGCTTCATATGTTTGTGGGATAGTAGGGCTAAAGAAGACCACTGGAAAAAGGTGGTATGGCCTGCTAGGGAAAATATGACTGTAGGTGCATCAAATATCATTAACGAACCACTGGTAGACAGGGGAAAAATTATTCTCCCACCACTCCACATCAAACTAGGACTGATGAAGCAATTTGTAAGAGCCCTAGACAAAGATGGTCAATGTTTCAAATATATTTGCAGATTTTTTCCAGGCTTGAGTATGGAGAAAATCAAAGCTGGAATCTTTAGCGGCCCTCAAATTCGCCAAATCATCAAGGATGAGCAGTTCCTATACACAATGACAGATATTGAAGCATCTGCCTGGAAAAGTTTTGTCTTGGTTGTTCATAACTTTTTGGGCAACCATAAATCTCCCAACTATGAAGAAATCGGACAGAAAATGCTTTCAGACTTCAAAACATTGAAAGCTAATATGAGCATAAAAGTTCACTTTCTACATAATCACTTAGATCGGTTTCCCGATAATCTAGGAAGTTATAGTGAGGAACAAGGGGAGAGGTTCCATCAAGATATCAAGGTAATGGAAGAAAGATACCAAGGAAGATTGGATACACACATGATGGCTGACTATTGTTGGAGCCTTCAACGTGATTGTCCACATTCTCCACACAAAAGACAATCATACAGACACCGATTTTTAATGCATTAATTGTGATTTCATTGTACTGATTTGAATGTTTTGATCTATTAGCATTGTATGTACTTCCCCATAAACAATTTGATATATATATCTAGTGTTTTTTTTGTGAATTACGCTACAACCTAACATAAATTGTTGCTATTAATGTACTTTCGTGACCACCCTGTATCTTAAAAACTAGAGCCAATCTAGGAAAACGGAGGTCATATTCGGAATCAGGGCAACAAGTTACCTATAAAATGACCCCCAAATGTTTTGCCGCAAAATCTTTGTTGGCCAGTGTTATCAATTATCAATATATTACCCAAGTAACTAAGTTTCAGTTTGAAAAATGGAAACTATAAAATCGAAATTTAATTTTAACAACTCAGGTATCCGTTAGACAAAAATATTCTTGCGGAAAACTTTAATTGGTTGTGATTCCCAAAATGAAATGATGTCAGCATGCTCTGAACATGCATTACCTTCTCAAAACTGCATTCTTTTTTCTATAAAAAAACTCTGGATTGGTGGAGGATATGACCGCGCATATTTTATGACAAGTACATTAGGTTTGCTACATAATATATAATTAACGTTTTTTTACTTTTAACCGAATTTTAATTTTACCTATATAAATTTGTTAATTGAATCTTTTCACTCTGATATGAGGTTGCATTAACGTGTTTTGAATTAGAAAAAAATTCAGTAAGAATTATATGTTCTAAGAAACTATAAAATAATATAGTTGTAAAAATGAAACTTTAAAAAAATAATATTAAAAAAGACAGCGCAGCAGAATTAGCTAGAAACATCTTTAAAAAAAAGCTATAATAAAGTTTTTTGGACTAGAAAACTTAATATTTGTTCTATTTTAAAGAAGAAACACGGAAACGACTTACGATTCAGATGAGCAATTTTTAAGATTAAACGACGAAACAAAAAATGACCTACGATTCAAAGGATTTAGCATATCGCTGAAAGATGAAAAAGATAGAAGAAAGAAGATTGTGATAATGAACATTTACTGAGCAAAACCAAGATTAAACTAAGGAAACTGAGCTTCTATCATTAAGTATTTGTGCTTTGACAGCAAAAAAAAAAATTGCAAAAGAAGTTGCATTTACAGGTGTTTCTAAATACATCTAGAAATATGAAACATTTGCTTTCTGATGTAGTAACTACTTCTGAAGGCATTTTGACAGATCTCTTGCTTCCTGAATCCGCTATCAAATATGCAAAAATGAAAACAGCAAGTACAAGTGCAGCTAAATATCTAGAAGATATAATATAAGCTGCAACTCAAAGAAAACCAAAACAAAAGAAAAAAAGAACGATATTCACATGAACAGCAAAACGATCTATTTTTCGTACAAAACGAAAGAGAGATCGTTTTGCATTGTTGGCATTTTGCCAATGAAATACTTGTATGAGGGTTCTGTGATTTTACACAACCGCAATTAGTACTTGAAATTATTCTGGCACAAATATTAGATTTGTGCGTTCCTCTTTAGTTTCCAATTCATTTCCAAGGCATTGAAAATGTTAAGAGTAGTAACCCTAACTTATCCACATCTATGTGATGCACAATAAAACCTATCAGTTATTACCATTAACAAATCATCAGTAGAACATTGAGAAAATTGAAACCCATATTGATGCTCAGAAAGTAAGTTATCAAATTCAAGATGAGAGATCAAGTGTTTGTAAATTAAAGACTCAAAAACCTTGCTTATGATAGTAAGAAGACTAATAGAATGGTTATTAGATGAGTCAGATCGTTCTTTAGAATTTTTTGAAAATAAAGCACAGATACCATATTCCAGCAGGCTGGAAAACAAGACTCTGATAAGCACTTGTTAATTAGTTTTGAAAGAGTAGATGACAACTCCGGAGGACACCTCTGCAAGACTATAACAGTTTTTAGCTAGCAATTCAGCTTTGTTTTTAGGTGAGGTAACAAAATCTAAACCATGCAAGAAAGGTGGAATAACAGATTTGCCCTTAGTACAGACACTGTTAAAGATTCTCCAATCTGTTAAAGATTCTTCCAGTCTCGGAAACCTAATGTTGGAGATGAAATACGAAATTTCATGATTTTATACAAAATCTTTTTACAATGGTTTCTAGCAATAGTAGAGAGACACCTGTTTTATGAAGAATTGTTTTGGTGATAGATATGTAAGCATTGATTGCAATAGGAAACTACAGCATCACAATAAGACAAAAACCATAAAGAAAACTTGTTGGCCTCAAGGTCTGCAGAGTCATTGATAGCAGAACCAAACCATTTAGTGTGAATTAAGTCACCAACAACAACAATATTAGCTGAAAGAAACTTTGCAAGAAATAAGACTCATCAGAAAAAGTTACTTTGAAGACAACAAATATTAGTGAACATTAAATTCAAAGAAATTGATGGTGGCGTTGATTTTTTGTGTTTTATAGTTTTGGTACTCATTTTTAGATTTGTTAAAGAACTTGACTTAAGGTAAAGATAGTATCCAGTATCCATTATTTACTAGTCCAAGCAATTGTCTCATTACTATTATTTTAACGTCTGCCCACAATAAGTATTTTTAGCTAGACACCAATTTTAGTCTTTACTCAATCAAGAGCCCCAAGTTAGGGTGCTTGTTTAGCCAGAGTTGGCTTCTCTTAGTCTTTACCTGAAAAAGTGTATCCTACAATGCAGCATGTATGTATATATATATATATATATATATATATATATATATATATATATATATATATATATATATATATATATATATATATATATATATATATATATATTTATATAAACAAGCAATTAAAAATCTTAAAATATTTATTATGATTACCTGTTCCATTCATATCTGTAAGTCCAGCCTAAACATCTAGCTACTTTTGTAACTGAATTTGAATTTGTCACATCTTTTGTAAACATCAGTTCACACATATCATCACAAGAGACCATAAAATAGTAAAAACCTGATTGAGGAGCCCTAAAGTATGTCCACATACGAAAGCCACCATAAAAGGGGACATAAAAGGGTAATAAATCAAAATTATTAACAAAACTTGTTGTTGTAGGTTTGCCAGTTTTTAAAGCTTCCAAACTCACAATATTATTGAAAATTGAAACAGAAACAGGACTAACTAAATCAAATTTAAAAGCTTAAATGTTAACTAATTTAAAATTTAATTCTATCAATATTACCAAATAAATTTTATTAAAAACTAATTTTATACGCAGTAAAAAAAATAACATTAAAATTAATTAAATTTTTTTAATTTACATAAGGGTAAATAAAACATTAAATTTTTTACTTACTGTTATGTAGCTGTTATGCAGGATTTTTTGCAAATTTTTTATATGTTTTAAATATTAAAGTCATTTTAATATAAGCAATGGTTGAGCGCTTAAACAACTTTCATTTTAATAACAAAACAGACATATGAATCAAAATATTAGTTTTAAAACCAATAAATAAAACGTCAATCAAATCAAAAAAGGTTAAAAAGGGGCTTAAAAAATTTACAAGTTTTTTTAACTGCCCAAATATTAATGCCATTGTTGCAGCTCACCTTTTTAACCGAATCTTTTTTTAATAGAAATAATCAAAAGATCAGAACACGATCCTGATTGAACGGGGAATTTTATACAATCTTCAATAAAAGTATGACAAAGTATGCAAGTAGACATAGTATGAACACAAGAGGACATCCAGCCATCATCCCAGACTGATATTCCGACTGAGAATCCACTCTGAGTGTACACCAGGTTATCTTTTTGTTAGAGTACGCCTTTGTGTTGTCCCAAAAAGAACGTTTGTCAGGGTATCCCATCACGATAAGGGTATCCCATTACAATTGCCACAGACCTCTCTATTAAGACTGAGACTAGAGAACACTAAGTGGAGTTTAGTACAACTTGCATACAATTGTAAGTGGTTGTTTGGCACGGGTGACAGTAAATACAGTGACTTGTTGCAATATAACTAGGGTTGGTGAGAGTTGTGATCTGTTTTAATTTCTTATAGCAGTGCAATGATATATATATATATATATATATATATATATATATATATATATATATATATATATATATATATATATTTACTTACATATATATATTTACTTACATATATATATATATATATATATATATATATATATATATATATATATATATATATATATATATATATATTTTTATATATATATATAAAAAAAAAATATATATATATATATATATATTTTTTTTTTTTGTTCTTAAGAGAGATGAAAAAAAAATATATATATATATATATATATATATATATTTTTTTGTTATCAGGGTGTTTGTTACCAGGGCTACATAAATATTTATAAATCCTAAAATATATTTTTTTAATTCAAAATTTATGTTATATTTTGTGTATATATGCATATATAAACATCATTATGGTCAGCATGATCATCATAATCATCATCATAATTATCTTCTCTTTTGGCAAATACTACACTATGTAAATACTAAAGTTTATATAAATATGAAAGGATATTGTATGCCAGCATCTACATAAATAGAAAACATATGTTTATATCAATAATATGTATGCATAAAGCACATCTCAGAAACTTTTATTTCTTTTGGACTAAAAGTTTGGCAACTTACTCTTTAAGTCAAATCTCATTCCATATTTTTCACCATCTTGAGCAGTTGTTTTATTAATCATTTATTTTATCTTTATTACAAGAACATCTCTCTTAAGAACAAATGTCCTTTTATTATTCCAAGAAGCCAATGTAAAAAGGTCCCATCTGATATTAAGCTCCTTTACCTCATTTTACTCAATCTTGTATTTTATATCAGACGTTAGGTTCTAGAGACTTTTGGTTACTTTTCAACATTGTCATTAAATAAAGTAAGCCTAACATTTAACCTTATTAAATATATAGTATTTAATATTTAACTTTTAAAAGATCTAAACAAGTGGTTGCAATTTTTGAAAACTCTAGAAAACACTTTGACATCTCTAACTATCCTAGAATTAATTTTCACTCTGTTATTAATTTCTTTACATAAAGGTTTTGAGATCATTAAATTATTTTTTACTAACTACAGTAATAAAGTTATTCTTGAAGGCCTACACTCTTTTTTTTATTTCAAGTAACTTTAAGGGTACCACAAGGTATCTTGTGATACCATTAAATCTTTGATCCTGTATTGTTTCTTATCTACAATATCAATCTTAATGAAAATTTAACATCTAAAGTGGTTCTATTGTTGACGACTAAACTTTATACTCTTGTCTGGATAAAAAATCTTCACTTATTGATTGCTTAGAACAAGCAGCTGATTTTTAATCTAGTCTCTCTTCTGTAACAGCCTAAGGCTTGCTGTGGCTTATGAATTTAAATTCTGGAATTAAAATCTAAAATTTTTTTTAGACAACAAAACTTATTTATTCACTGCAAAAAAATATTGCAATAACGTTAATATTCTTATATTGATGAATAAGCTTCTTACTCCCAGACAAGGTTGAAAAGCACATTGTAAATGTAATGGTTGTGGGTTAGTACTAGAGCGCTGGGATCAAAAGCAAGAGCTACCAAATTGGATCCCCACCACGTCCCTGGTAGTACCACTCTAAACTTGTTTCTCTGCCCAACGACCTTGGTTGTCAAGGTTCATGTTTTAGAGTTAAATGATTAAGAGATAGTTATAACTACAATTAAGTAGCCTACTCACCTGTAGTGTAATTTTCAGCCTTGAGGAGGTGAATTAACATTAAAAAAAAAATAATAAAAAATTAGATCTGCTTTATCTGCCAAGCTTGAGCCACTCTCCTATTGTTGTATGGTTGCATTTCTTTTTTTTTTTTACAATCATGGTCAATTCTAAAACAAGCTATTATCTCTATTATGATAAGCAAAAACTCATTCTTTCTTGTTTCTTATTCAACAAGCTGCATCCTTTTACTGTATCTATCCCTTCATGCTATAAAAACTTTTATTAATCCAGTTTTTTTCCTTGCACATCAAAAAATCCTTATAAATATTAGCCATCTTCATGTTTTTCTTTTATATACAACCTATAACTTTTCAAGTCTTCAGCTGACCATTTCCTAGTATTTTTAGTTATTCTCTATTTTAAATTAACTCATAACTTAATAGTGGTTGAAGTAATTTAGAGTTTGAAAATATATAAATATATGGCAGTATTTAATAAATAGTAAATCTAGGCATAAAATTATAATATATAAAGTATTATAAATTTTTTTCAAAGGTTGATAGCCCCAGTTATCAACCCCAACTAAACCTTATAGTTTAGCCAGGGCTGGGTTTGAAAAAAGTCTTATTTTCAGCCTAAGTAACAAAAACATATGTGCTTACTATTGTTAGTGTTTAGCACATTAGATACTAAGAAAAGGTGGAGTAGATATATTTGTTTTATAAACGGTGTTATATGTTTTTTGTAAATAAAATGAATTTTAGTGAAGTTGTAAGCCTAATTTAACTACAACTTAATCCTATTTTTTTTGTAAAAAAAAAGTTTATAATTATAACAATGAATTTAAAATAAAATTTCATTTTTATGTCCACATTTACTTTAAATACTAAAGTTTTAACCCCAAATAAAAAAACAAAAAAGATTTCACATTGTCAGTCAATAAAATATTTTTTAATTATTGTAAAAAAACAACAAAAAAACCTTATGAGTTGCTCAACGCAGAGTGCTTGGGTCAATTTGTCTCTTTGTATGTATGCATGTATGCACGTATGTATGTATGTATGTATGTATGTATGTATGTATGTATGTATGTATGTATATAATAATATTCTATACATATATACACACATAAAATTCAATATGTATGTACAAACATTAAATTAAATACATAAAATATATGTATGTATATATGTATATATGTATATATATATATATATATATATATATATATATATATATATATATATGTATATATATATATGTATATATATATATATGTATATATATATATATATATATATATATATATATATATATATATATATATATATATATATATATATATATATATATATATATATATATATATATATATATATATATATATATATAATACAGATACATATATGCATAAATTAATAAATAAGTCTCTACTTTGAATTAATTTTATACTATTTGTTCCTTCACAAAAATAGTAATATAATTTTTTTTTACTATATGGTAAAGAGTTCTTTTTTGTGTGTAAAATATATTGAATAATTGATTATTTGAGTTTTCATTGCGTTGATGAGAATTATAACAACACATGTTTTCTAAAAGTTCACGTTTATAATATATTATATTAATATTGTTTGGTTATATATTATGGGATAATAATTTAATAAATTTAAATAATTGTATTGCAGTTTTAGATAAAGAAAATAAAACTAAAAGTAAATTGAAAATTTTTGCCTTGATTGCAAAGAGAGGATTAGTTTAAACAAGAGTTTTGGGCCATAATTGTTAACTTAACTAATGATATTGAAAAGAAAAAAATATATATAAATGTTGTTGGTCTTATAAACTTCTCTTTTCACTAAGTACGTTTTATATTTTCACTAAATGGTTTTTATCTTTACCCATCTCATTATTATAAAATAAATGAGATGGGTAAAGATAAAAACCATTTAGTGAAAATATAAAACGTACTTAGTGAAGTGTAGATAAAAATATAACCAAAAGAGTTTTTTACTTCAAATCAAGATGCATTAAACTGACAACTGCGTTGACGGTTTATTCCACTAAAACAGGACTTTTTGAAAATGTCTTTAGCTTTCTAGCAGTTTTTGAAAACTGCTAAAAAGCTCAAGACATTTAATTTTCAAAAAGTATAGATAAATCTGGATCAAAATGTGACCAATAAAGAAAACAAACAAAAGAACTAGTTACTAATGGTAACTAATGAAACAGAAAACTTGCTATAGAATGAACTATCAACAAACAGTTTTGATATGGTATTTGAGGATGTACAGCCTAAAAAATCTACATCATTAGGTTTATCTACATCATCTACATGATCTACATTAAGCAAATTGAAAATAGTAAGTTAACTATATATATACTTATGCAATGTAGCTAAACCACAAATTTGATGAATTATTAACTGATACTAAAATTAAACAACCATACCTTGTAATGATATGAGAGACATAGTGGAATGAATCATTAACAACAAGTACTCCAAATTATTTCTTGTACAAACAAGACAGATGGATAATAAGGAAGGTAGAGTATGCATTTGAAGTATTTATTTGCATTCATTGAAGCAACAGTTTTTTAATAATAAGTTAATTATATAATGACAATATCAAGTAAATATGGTGCTCGATATGTACAAGTTTTGAAATAATTCTTTGTGGGTGTATCTATAGAGTAGAAGGTTGTAGTGAGGAAAATAGCAAGCAAATTGTATATTCAATAAAACACTCTGATATATTCTTAAATATTTATGTTTGGTTTAGTTAGTTTAGGTTTACTTTAACTACTCAAAAATAAAATGGAGTGGCAAAAATATTAACTCAACAGCTGATCTGAACATTATTCATAACAGGTTTTTAGATGCACTGAATGGTTGTTTTCTAACTCAAAATATGAATCAACCAAAATTTCAAATATTTAACAAGGAAAAAACAAACATATTGAATTCATCAATAACAAAATTTTCAGCATGAGTTTTTTAAATAGAACATGTTAAACTTTATTTGAATATTTTTTTAATATTTTATTATTTTTTGTTTGCATATTTTCATGCTTCAAAACTTTAAGCTTTTGTTCCAAACAATATATATATATATATATATATATATATATATATATATATATATATATATATATATATATATATATATATATATATATATATATATATATATATATATATATATATATATATATATATATATATATAATATATATATATATATATATATATATATATATATATATATATATATATATATATAGTGCTTGAAGTGGCGAAAAAAAAGAAACGAGATGGTATTCCATAAATTAAAAATAACATTCCGTCTTATCACTGTTATATATATAGATTTATAAAAAGGTGGCGGGATGGTTTATACTTTATAAAAAGGTGACAGGATGGCATCCCGCCCCACTTTGAGCACTATATATATATATATATATATATATATATATATATATATATATATATATAATATATATATATATATATATATATATATAACTAATTTAAAACATCAGATAATACAAATTCTCTTAATGCTAAATAATTTATTTGAAATTTTGCCGGATTATAGGCACCGGCATCATCAGCATATAATATTATATAATTGCAAAAATTGTGATGGTTAAATAACAACAACAAATTTTTTAAATTTTAACGCCACCTTTATAATGGCTTCTTTTACCTAAGTATGAAAAAAAATGGTCCAAAAATTTGTTTTTAGATATTGTCCATTGTCCAAATTCATACCACCAAACGTTGGAGAACATTGATGTTTTTGTATCTCTAAGGCCTCACGGACTTTTCTTTCATATTTTTTATCCTCAACTCTAAGCGTTATTACTTTATTCCATTCAATGTCCTCATTACAATTTACTTTATGCAAAGCTAAAGCAGACTGGTTTAACTTGCCTTCAGTCAAAAATTTTTGATGTTGTTGAACCCTTGTTCGTATTTGAATTTTTGTTTCACCAGCATATACTTTGGAGCATTTGCACTTAATTAAATAAGTTCTTGAGGCGCTGTTGCATGGTAATTTAGACTTATTTTTAGACGTTAATAGCGTTTTTAGGTTAACATTTGAATTAAAAACAGTTCTGTAACCAGCTTTTCTGAATATTTTTCTAAGTCTGGGATATATTTTTGGTATCCATGGTAAAGTTTTCGCATAAATCAAAAATTTTTAAAAAGATCAATGATTAAAAGTTATTTGCAATGTTAAGAATTTTTAAATTGCATATAAATTGTTAAAACATTATAATAGCTGTTGTCAAATTGGAAAGAAAAAAAAAAAAGTGCTGTCAGTTACAGCACAAAATTTTAAGTCTATCTAAAAAAATGTACAATTCAAATTGAAGCTATTTTATTAAAAAATAAATAAAAAAAAATGATGAATTATTCTAAATAAAAAAAAAAGATACTACAACTTCACTAGACATTAAATAAACTAAATAACATGACAAAGATTTTGATTGCATAATTGGTTCCATAAAACCGTAAAAGTTATACTTTCAAAATTTGATCGGACATTGTCTGATCCAAACAAGTTTTGCTTGGGAATTTTGTCCGGGACTTTAGAGAAAATTAAATTGAACCTTGATGTATACATTTATGTGGAATTATACAGAAAATTGCATTGAACTTAACACCAAAATATAAATTTACCTATTCCAGGCATCACAAACATTTGGTTAGCACTCATACATCCTCCCCAGAGATTTAGAAAAACTCCGTTTGCTATATAGCCCCCATTCGGTTCAAAACACAAACTTTCCATTTGATTAGTTTGCCCTAATGTTAAAAATATATTCACTTAAAAATATAAAAGTTGTAAGGAGACCATTTTTGGTAAAGTTATACTCAGTTTATCTCCATAATATAGGATTGCTTGAGATTTTAGTATGGAGCTCATCTACTTAAATTGTAAAAATGATCCTTTGAATAAAATTGATTATAAAATTAAAAACCTACAAGGTGTTCTCTGTATTTGACTTGCTGAAGTAAACTCTTTACAAGTTGAGCTTATTACTATTGGAGAATAATTTTTGATACCATCTTTAGCACAAACTAGTTTTCCACTGCACTTATGGAGTAGACTACCAGTTTTTGGATTATAAACAAAATTGGAAGCCTCATTTTTGCAGAAAGAAGATACTGGGCGATAAACAAGTTTTGTATTATCAGCTACTGTACATCCTCCAACTTCAGGTTCAATGCAAAAGATATCTCCGAAAGTACGTATCTGAGTAGCTAAAACAAAAAATTCATTTTTTTCAGTAAATATAAAAAAGAAGAAAAAGCAAAATAAATAAAATATAAAGATAAAACTAACTAAGGCAACTTCCAACACATGATTGTTCTCTAAACATTTCTACAGAATCACACTCTTTGCCTCCACACTTTGGTAAAGGATTATTGCAAAATCGCTGACTACTTTGTTTTCCAGTTCCACAAAAAACTGAACAGCTGGTCCATTCACTCCAAGGAGAAAGACCACCATTAACTTTAAAAATTTGTGAAAAAAAAAAAAAAAAAAAGTAAAATTAAAGATAAAATTTAAAATATAGATTTTAATAACAAGACATAAAAAAATTACTTGGTTTGTAGTTACTATCACAATCATTCTCATTCAGCCAATACCAAATCACTCCTGGATTATCGTTCAAATTTACTATCCACCTAGATGGTATAAATCCTTTAGGATTTTTAGAAATGATTGCTCCTCCATAGTCAGCAGTACCTGTAATTAATAATCCATCTTTGGTAGCATCTGTTGACAAGTATGGAAGGCAAGGATATGGACCTTGCCACCATGACCCATTGTCCCATGAGTCAAACTGTTTTATAATTTTTGTTGGTTGACACGATGTAGCGTTAAATCTGAAAATGCAAAATACAATAAAAAACATGTTGATCTTTTAAATGGGAAGTTGATGCAATTGTTTATTGATAAAAAAATTGTATGCAGGCATTAATGTTATATGATAAAAGGTCTATAATAAATTTAAGAAGAGTGTCCCATAATAGAAATATGTATATGGCTATATTTTATACTTTTTTTAAAAAATAAAGGAAATTTTTTTTTGAATAATATAAACAATAATAACACCTATTTTCGGTCAAGTGACTTTAATTTATTAATATAATTTTTTTTTTTTAATTATTTTTCTTTAATTATTAATATAAACATAGTCTTCTTAATATGAAAGAACGATTAACCAACCGCTTGATTTTTTAAATGAGGGATTGCCTCAATAACACACTAAACTTATAATAAAGTGACATTTTAAAGTTACTCTTTTTAAACCTAAAAAAAACTTACAAATATGCTGTAGAAGACTCCCATATCCCTCCCCATCTTTTACTAGCTGTTCCCTCAAGTCTGTATTTTATTGTTCCACTATTAGACAACTTTTTAATAGTGTTTGCTTTATTAAGAATGGAAAAATCTTCATAAATTGAAGGAGCAACGGCGTTTCTGGAATAAACCTGTATTTAAAAAAAAGTTTAAAAAAGTGGAAAATAAAATAATAAGAATATTATTCAAATATATTATCATAAAAAAATATATATGATGATATACATATACATATATTATCATATGAAAGGTTTTATTTAGAACTAATCAATATTCTATAGTATAAAATTTTGATAAAATACTTGATCTGAAGTCCATCCATTAGATACAGAAGTAACAAGCAGGGTCCAAGCTTCATTTAATGTTGAAGTCATGTCACAATAGGCAGGTTGATTATTTGCTAACATGTACAAACCATCTTTGTACAACTGGCCATTAACAAGTCCTCGTACTCGTAAGTCATTACATGAGTAGCGGCTAAAAAAGTGAATTATTTAACAATAATTTAAAGGAAGAGTTAACCAAAAATAAACTGTGTAAATATTTATTTAGAAAAAAAAACTTCAATATGAAACCTTAAATATAAACAAAGATAAGGTAGATAAGAGGAGCTCAGTGATTTTAGTGGTAGTAGTTAGTTCAGATCTGGCATTGGAAAGTTTAAGTTGTTTACAGTATCACAGTAGTTAGTTCAGATCTGGCATTGGAAAGTTTAAGTTGTTTACAGTATCACAGTAGTTAATTCAGATCTGGCATTGGAAAGTTTAAGTTGTTTACAGTATCACAGTAGTTAGTTCAGATCTGGCATTGGAAAGTTTAAGTTGTTTACAGTATCACAGTAGTTAGTTCAGATCTGGCATTGGAAAGTTTAAGTTGTTTACAGTATCACAGTAGTTAGTTCAGATCTGGCATTGGAAAGTTTAAGTTGTTTACAGTATCACAGTAGTTAGTTCAGATCTGGCATTGGAAAGTTTAAGTTGTTTACAGTATCACAGTAGTTAATTCAGATCTGGCATTGGAAAGTTTAAGTTGTTTACAGTATCACAGTAGTTAGTTCAGATCTGGCATTGGAAAGTTTAAGTTGTTTACAGTATCACAGTAGTTAGTTCAGATCTGGCATTGGAAAGTTTAAGTTGTTTACAGTATCACAGTAGTTAGTTCAGATCTGGCATTGGAAAGTTTAAGTTGTTTACAGTATCACAGTAGTTAGTTCAGATCTGGCATTGGAAAGTTTAAGTTGTTTACAGTATCACAGTAGTTAGTTCAGATCTGGCATTGGAAAGTTTAAGTTGTTTACAGTATCACAGTAGTTAGTTCAGATCTGGCATTGGAAAGTTTAAGTTGTTTACAGTATCACAGTAGTTAGTTCAGATCTGGCATTGGAAAGTTTAAGTTGTTTACAGTATCACAGTAGTTAGTTCAGATCTGGCATTGGAAAGTTTAAGTTGTTTACAGTATCACAGTAGTTAGTTCAGATCTGGCATTGGAAAGTTTAAGTTGTTTACAGTATCACAGTAGTTAGTTCAGATCTGGCATTGGAAAGTTTAAGTTGTTTACAGTATCACAGTAGTTAGTTCAGATCTGGCATTGGAAAGTTTAAGTTGTTTACAGTATCACAGTAGTTAGTTCAGATCTGGCATTGGAAAGTTTAAGTTGTTTACAGTATCACAGTAGTTAGTTCAGATCTGGCATTGGAAAGTTTAAGTTGTTTACAGTATCACAGTAGTTAGTTCAGATCTGGCATTGGAAAGTTTAAGTTGTTTACAGTATCACAGTAGTTAGTTCAGATCTGGCATTGGAAAGTTTAAGTTGTTTACAGTATCACAGTAGTTAGTTCAGATCTGGCATTGGAAAGTTTAAGTTGTTTACAGTATCACAGTAGTTAGTTCAGATCTGGCATTGGAAAGTTTAAGTTGTTTACAGTATCACAGTAGTTAGTTCAGATCTGGCATTGGAAAGTTTAAGTTGTTTACAGTATCACAGTAGTTAATTCAGATCTGGCATTGGAAAGTTTAAGTTGTTTACAGTATCACAGTAGTTAGTTCAGATCTGGCATTGGAAAGTTTAAGTTGTTTACAGTATCACAGTAGTTAGTTCAGATCTGGCATTGGAAAGTTTAAGTTGTTTACAGTATCACAGTAGTTAGTTCAGATCTGGCATTGGAAAGTTTAAGTTGTTTACAGTATCACAGTAGTTAGTTCAGATCTGGCATTGGAAAGTTTAAGTTGTTTACAGTATCACAGTAGTTAATTCAGATCTGGCATTGGAAAGTTTAAGTTGTTTACAGTATCACAGTAGTTAGTTCAGATCTGGCATTGGAAAGTTTAAGTTGTTTACAGTATCACAGTAGTTAGTTCAGATCTGGCATTGGAAAGTTTAAGTTGTTTACAGTATCACAGTAGTTAGTTCAGATCTGGCATTGGAAAGTTTAAGTTGTTTACAGTATCACAGTAGTTAGTTCAGATCTGGCATTGGAAAGTTTAAGTTGTTTACAGTATCACAGTAGTTAGTTCAGATCTGGCATTGGAAAGTTTAAGTTGTTTACAGTATCACAGTAGTTAGTTCAGATCTGGCATTGGAAAGTTTAAGTTGTTTACAGTATCACAGTAGTTAGTTCAGATCTGGCATTGGAAAGTTTAAGTTGTTTACAGTATCACAGTAGTTAGTTCAGATCTGGCATTGGAAAGTTTAAGTTGTTTACAGTATCACAGTAGTTAGTTCAGATCTGGCATTGGAAAGTTTAAGTTGTTTACAGTATCACAGTAGTTAGTTCAGATCTGGCATTGGAAAGTTTAAGTTGTTTACAGTATCACAGTAGTTAGTTCAGATCTGGCATTGGAAAGTTTAAGTTGTTTACAGTATCACAGTAGTTAGTTCAGATCTGGCATTGGAAAGTTTAAGTTGTTTACAGTATCACAGTAGTTAGTTCAGATCTGGCATTGGAAAGTTTAAGTTGTTTACAGTATCACAGTAGTTAGTTCAGATCTGGCATTGGAAAGTTTAAGTTGTTTACAGTATCACAGTAGTTAATTCAGATCTGGCATTGGAAAGTTTAAGTTGTTTACAGTATCACAGTAGTTAGTTCAGATCTGGCATTGGAAAGTTTAAGTTGTTTACAGTATCACAGTAGTTAGTTCAGATCTGGCATTGGAAAGTTTAAGTTGTTTACAGTATCACAGTAGTTAGTTCAGATCTGGCATTGGAAAGTTTAAGTTGTTTACAGTATCACAGTAGTTAGTTCAGATCTGGCATTGGAAAGTTTAAGTTGTTTACAGTATCACAGTAGTTAGTTCAGATCTGGCATTGGAAAGTTTAAGTTGTTTACAGTATCACAGTAGTTAGTTCAGATCTGGCATTGGAAAGTTTAAGTTGTTTACAGTATCACTGTAGTTAGTTCAGATCTGGCATTGGAAAGTTTAAGTTGTTTACAGTATCACAGTAGTTAGTTCAGATCTGGCATTGGAAAGTTTAAGTTGTTTACAGTATCACAGTAGTTAGTTCAGATCTGGCATTGGAAAGTTTAAGTTGTTTACAGTATCACAGTAGTTAGTTCAGATCTGGCATTGGAAAGTTTAAGTTGTTTACAGTATCACAGTAGTTAGTTCAGATCTGGCATTAGAAAGTTTAAGTTGTTTACAGTATCACAGTAGTTAGTTCAGATCTGGCATTGGAAAGTTTAAGTTGTTTACAGTATCACAGTAGTTAGTTCAGATCTGGCATTGGAAAGTTTAAGTTGTTTACAGTATCACAGTAGTTAGTTCAGATCTGGCATTGGAAAGTTTAAGTTGTTTACAGTATCACAGTAGTTAGTTCAGATCTGGCATTGGAAAGTTTAAGTTGTTTACAGTATCACAGTAGTTAGTTCAGATCTGGCATTGGAAAGTTTAAGTTGTTTACAGTATCACAGTAGTTAGTTCAGATCTGGCATTGGAAAGTTTAAGTTGTTTACAGTATCACAGTAGTTAGTTCAGATCTGGCATTGGAAAGTTTAAGTTGTTTACAGTATCACAGTAGTTAGTTCAGATCTGGCATTGGAAAGTTTAAGTTGTTTACAGTATCACAGTAGTTAGTTCAGATCTGGCATTGGAAAGTTTAAGTTGTTTACAGTATCACAGTAGTTAGTTCAGATCTGGCATTGGAAAGTTTAAGTTGTTTACAGTATCACAGTAGTTAATTCAGATCTGGCATTGGAAAGTTTAAGTTGTTTACAGTATCACAGTAGTTAGTTCAGATCTGGCATTGGAAAGTTTAAGTTGTTTACAGTATCACAGTAGTTAGTTCAGATCTGGCATTGGAAAGTTTAAGTTGTTTACAGTATCACAGTAGTTAGTTCAGATCTGGCATTGGAAAGTTTAAGTTGTTTACAGTATCACAGTAGTGTGTTCAGATCTGGCATTGGAAAGTTTAAGTTGTTTACAGTATCACAGTAGTTAGTTCAGATCTGGCATTGGAAAGTTTAAGTTGTTTACAGTATCACAGTAGTTAGTTCAGATCTGGCATTGGAAAGTTTAAGTTGTTTACAGTATCACAATAGTTAGTTCAGATCTGGCATTGGAAAGTTTAAGTTGTTTACAGTATCACAATAGTTAGTTCAGATCTGGCATTGGAAAGTTTAAGTTGTTTACAGTATCACAATAGTTAGTTCAGATCTGGCATTGGAAAGAACGTTATGTAATGCTCAACAGAATGTAACCAAGTAAAACAGAACAAGATTAATTATTTTTATTGTGAAACAATGACAAGAAAAAATGATCATGAAAGATTACTAAAAATATTGATGTGGAATATTTAGTATTTATCCCTGGCTTAACCAACATTTATAGGTGGATTTCATTTTAGAGTTTTGACATAAGATTTGTCTTCATCAACTAAAGTGAAGAGTCCTATATAATTGTAAGATTTCTTGTAGCCTTGTTATATTTCTTTATATTATACTCTTTATATTTCTTGTAGCCTTAAGTTGTAAGATTCATGTAGCCTAAGCTTGTAGCCTGAATTCATATACCCACATCTAGCCTAAGCTAGTTAGTGAAGTAAAGTGGTAGTTAATGTTTGTTTGTTATGTATAATCTAAATATTATATTAAATATAAAAGAAAATAAAATAATTGGTAAATTATTGTTTTGCTTTTTCAGGGTTTATTGCAATTAAGACTAAAGCAAGCACTGTTCCATAATTAAAAAAATGGGAAGATTTAGAGTGACGAGGGTCATAACTAGGGTAAGATTTAAGGTCATGGCTAGTCTGAATTGGTTTATAACAAGGCCCAGGTTGTTTTAAACCACTTAATCAACACATGAACAGATATATTGGTGACAAGCACAAAAAGAACTAAAAAATAAAAAATAAACTAAAAAATGAAAAATAAACTAAACTTTTATATAACTTCAAAACAAAGTATTACCTTCCACCTTCTCGTACCCATAACTGAACAAAAGAAGGATTTTCAAGAGAAGTCATATACTTTCCACTTCCTGCGATTACACCATAGTTGTCACCAACATCCTATTTATAAAATAATAAATAATAATAAAATCAAACAAGATTAAACTGTAAACAACTTAAATAAATTCAATATGTTTGAAAAAAATTAAGCTTATAATTCAATATTTTTATAAAAACATGTTTCTATAAAAAATCATTTGTAACAAATAGAAGCCTTACTATAACAAATACATGCATTGCTACAACAGCACATGAACAACAAACATGTATTTGTTATAACAAATACATGTTTTGTTATAATAAATACATATCTTGTTTTAAAAAATACATGTTTTATTATAACAAATACATGTTTTGTTATAACAAAATTCATGTTTTGTATTAAAAAATTGATGTGTTGTATCTATGCCTTAATCAGGTAGTGTTTTCTCATATTTATACACACATTGAATAATGACTGGGCACTGAAATGTTAGTAACCAAACTCAGTAACAAATACATGTCTTGCTATAACCAATAGATGAGTTGCTATAACAAATACTCGCATTGCCAAAACAAATACATGCTCAGCTATAACAAATACATAGATTAGCCATAACAACTACATATGTTGCTATAACAAATATATTCTACTATGATTCTACTGATACTACCAAGTTTAAGATTAATTCATTTACTCTATAGTATATATTAAGATTAATTCATTTACTTTATAGTTAAAACAAATATATAACTTTGTTTTTCAAACTAATATATTGCTACACTTTGCCAATATTTGTTGAAATAATCAAGTTATATTGCATAAAAAAATAAACAAGAACAACATAATGCATTAGTTTTTATTAATTATTAAAAAAAAAAATCGAAAAAAAAAATAACATTGAAACACACCAATGAGTTAGCTGCCATAGAAAATTCTTTATCAGAAACTATGCAAAGTGGATATTTAGCTATGTTTTCAACTGATTCATTCCAAGTTCCAAACTTTTTTAAGAGAGTTGGTTTATAAAGTTTTGAACATGATAATGAGTTGTGCTCAACAGGTATAGAAAAAATTCCACCATTTGAATCCCTATCATTTGCTTCTAACATAATCTGGTAAGATTTCTAGTAAAATAAAATAAATACATAAATGTAGATAATAAATATAATAAATACTACACACACACACACAAACATATATGTTAACATATCTATATACATATATGTATAGATACAAACATATATATATATATATATATATATATATATATATATATATATATATATATATATATAATATATATATATATATATATATAAATATATATATATATATACATATATATGAACATTTATGTGTATATATATATATATATATATAAATATATATATATATATATATATATATACATATATATGAACATTTATGTGTATATATATATGTATATATGTATATGTATATGTATATAAACATATATATATATATATATATATATATATATATATATATATATATATATATATATATATATATATATATATATATATATATATATATATATATATATATATATATATATATATTAAATTATATTATATATACAACCCTCGAAATTCATCAATGCTGACCTAAAAGTGTTTGAGGTTGGCAATTTTATACTGATCTCATTTCTATGTTTTATGGTAGGAACTTTGTATCAAATATTTTTTGCTGACCTGCTGCAGACCTCCAAAGATTGAGGTTGCCAATTTATAGAGTTGTATATATATATATATATATATATATATATATATATATATATATATATATATATATATATATATATATATATATATATATATATATATATGTATATATATATATATATATATATATATATATATATATATATTGAGAGTTGTATATATATATATATATATATATATATATATATATATATATATATATATATATATATATATATATATATATATATATATATAAATATATATATATATATATATATATATATATATATATATATATATATATATATATATATATATATATATATATATATATATATATATATATATATATATATATATATATATATATATATATATATATATATATATATATATATACAATTCTTGGAATAAGGAAAAATGAGGTCAGGAATAAGTTGCCGACCTTTGCCAAAAAAGTTAATACAAAGGTCTTACCATAAAACTATAGATTAAATTTAATGAGAATTAAATGTCATGTAAATTAATGTTTCTCTCGTTTCAACGTGGTATAAAAATGTTTATAGAGGCAATAATAAAGAATTTTTTTTTCCGTGTGCAGTTAATGATGCAGCTAAAAGAGCAGTAAAACTTATCAAAGATTGTTTTATTTGTTTGATCCCTGCAAATGAAGAACAAAAGTAATTTTTGCTACTCAGTGTGCAAGAGCCTAAAAATCTGTATTTAGACTGTAAAAAAGAAAACCTTAAAGAAAAAAATTCTTCTTGATCTGTAATTTTATATTCTTTTAATAAATACTTTGTAAAATATATATGTATATACACATATATATATATATATATATATATATATATATATATATATATATATATATATATATATATATATATATATATATATATATATATATATATATATATATATATATATATATATATATATATATATATATATATATAATATATATATATATATATATATATATATATATAATATGTAATAATAATTTCAATTTATTTAGCTATATAACAAGAAGGGTTAAAAACAGTAATTTTGAAATCTTCAGAGTACTTTCGGCATGCATTAATTTTGTCGTAGGAAGATAAAACTTTGTATTTAAGTTTGTCTATTATATCGGCTACTTAAATTTTTTTTTTTTTATAAATTTGTAATGAAAAAAAAAAAAATCAGTTAAATTGCAATTGGGTATTTTTTTAACTTACAAAAGTGCAACTTTTTAAAAAGCGCAAACTGACGCGTAAAGTAACTTCAAAACAATCTATGTTTAAGATATGTTTTAATTGCGTCTCATTTTAGATTTTGTTACGTTATTTGGTCATTTAAAAAAAATAACCTGCTTTTTCTGTAATTTTATATATATGTATATATGTATATATATATATATATATATATATATACATATATATATATATATATATATATATATATATATATATATATATATATATATATATATATATATATATATATATATACATATTGCTCACTTTTTCTGCTTACCTTAAGCTATATCGTTTTTTTTGAAAAAGAAGAAGAAAAAACAAAGAATAATGAATAAAACAATTGCTTCCCCATCCCAAACCCTCAGTCAATGTAGCAGCACTCCACTGCGAGTCAGGCTATTTGTCAGTCGATGTATGTACTGAAGCCCCCAGCAGCAGGCAATTTTAGTATGACATCAGATTGCTTACCTTAGTACGCAATACTATTTGTATATATATATATATATATATATATATATATATATATATATATATATATATATATATATATATATATATATATATATATATATATATATATATTTATATATATATATATATATATATATATTTAATTATAAAAGAATAACAATAAAGAGTTTACAGCATGAGGTACCTCACTTAAATCTTTTATCTTCATATTTTCAAGTAATTCAGCAAGATCTTTTATCTTCTCTAATGACCAATCTTTAGTGACAACATTTGCTAATAAAGTCCAACCACCACCATATCGATCAAAGTCACAATATGTTTTCACAACTTTTCCTGAAGTAGGTTCAATTTCATATACTCCACTTTCCAATTTTTTTGAATTTGATAAACCTCGGAAAAGTAGGTTAAGACATGATGGGGGATATGAGTAGGTGCCTTCTCTAATCCAATACCTTATAAAGATAGTATACTTTTATTATACACAAAAAAACAAATTTATATATAAAAATCATCGAAAAAGTTTTGATATTGGAACTTAAATTATAATTTAAAATAAAATTCCTAACTTAAATAAACTTCCACTAAAATAGAAATCTTTTATTAGATCTTTTATTAAACTCATAAAAATTATTGTATTTTAAAAATAGATTAATTAATAGTTCAATCTAAGATTAATTTTTTAAGTATGAACATTTTGAACACTTTGCACAAAATGAATCAGAAGATAAAATTATTTAAAAAATTATTTAGTTAAAACTAGCATTTTGATCCTAAATCATAAACACCTTACCACACATGTTCTGGAAACATCATTTTCATATATTCGTTAATCCATTTTGACGGATGTAGTCCAGGTAGGTTGTCTTGTAAATTATTATAAAAAAAAAACAATAAAGTGTCATTCTACAATTCTAGGACTTTTTATATATTTATTTACTCCATGTATTATGTTGGTTTTTATTAATTGTTGAAAATTTTCAACTATTTTTGTTTTTAATAAACAATTATTATTAATTTGAAGTTTCTAGAAATTGTGCTTAACAAAATAAGAAAACATATGCTTTATTAAAAAAAAAAATTTACAACATAATATTAAAAAAATATGTCTGCCATTCTCAAGAGCTTTATGGTAATTCTTGTTTTTGTAAGTATAATGAACCTTAGTGAATATTACATAGTCTGCTTTAGTTCATTTCAATTCTTGTTTTTGTAAGTATAATGAACCTTAGTGAATATTACATAGTCTGCTTTAGTTCATTTCAATTCTTGTTTTTGTGAGTATAATGAACCTTAGTGAATATTACATAGTCTGCTTTAGTTCATTTCAATTCTTGTTTTTGTAAGTATAATGAACCTTAGTGAATATTACATAGTCTGCTTTAGTTCATTTCAATTCTTGTTTTTGTAAGTATAATGAACCTTAGTGAATATTACATAGTCTGCTTTAGTTCATTTCAATTCTTGTTTTTGTGAGTATAATGAACCTTAGTGAATATTACATAGTCTGCTTTAGTTCATTTCAATTCTTGTTTTTGTAAGTATAATGAACCTTAGTGAATATTACATAGTCTGCTTTAGTTCATTTCAATTCTTGTTTTTGTAAGTATAATGAACCTTAGTGAATATTACAATTTTATCTTAAATTCAACTTTAATTTGTCAAGAGTTGTTTTTTTTTCTTTCATAATTTTCAAAACTTTATTCTTACTAAAATATGCAAAATCTATATCTAACAAATGTATACAACTTTTTGTCAAGGAATAATTAAAAAATTAATAATAAAAAATACTGAAAGGTAAATATAATAACTTATACAATAACAGTATACCTGTAAGTGAACCCCACGAATCATAAGCACTTGTTGAGACAATAAGAGAAGTTGTTATAGTATAACCAGAAATATAAGGAAGACGCTGGTCAATACTTCTACTACCAAATTGCCAATCATCAAACTTTTGAAGAACTTTGACTTTAGTTTGTTGAGCATTGGTAGAAGATATATTATATTTTGCAGGTGCAGAAAATACTCCACCCCATCGACCTATAAATATATTCTTACTTCTGTTATTACTTGAAAAAAACAACTGTTTAACATAAAATTAAAAACCATTTACCAAATTCATTTGCTTCTAATCTATAGTTAAACGTGTCATCTTGAATCTTGTAACTGGTTTTTAATTCGTTGGCATATTTAAAGATTGAGTAATCATTAAAAAGATCTGGTTTATCAATATTTCTCAACCAAACATTTTTATCATCCCATGTATTTGAGTGTGAAGATACTACAAGTGTCCAGCCTCCACCATCACGTGTCATATCACAGTAGACATTTAATGTGAGTGTAGGAGTTGGTTTAATTGTATAAATACCATCATATAATGGCTGTCCTTGTTTTTCTAAAAGGCCTTTAATTGCAAGACATGACTCAGCAACTAAAAAAATTATATAATTATGCTTAATTTATGGTTAAAATCAAACAAGCTTATACTAAAATATATAGCAATTATAGGATACAATTTATATGATAAATTATAGATTTACTTATAATATTATGTACATAAATATTCTTAAAAGAATAATATTATATATACAAGTTCATAATAATAATTTGAGGTAAAAATTTAGGTGTTGTTATATTAAGTAATAATAACTATTGTGAAAATTAAAGTTATAATTAAATAAAAAGTTTTTCAGTATTAAAATATAAATCAGGCTTTAAAAAATATAATTGAATTAAATTATGCTTTAGAAATAAATATCTCACAAAAATAAATGTTAATCTCTCAATAATAAATGTCTCTCCTGAATAAATAAATATATGAATAAGAATATAATTAAATGCCTCTCTTAAAATAAATAAATATATGAATAAAAATAATCTCAAATAAATAAATATATGAATGAAAAAATTTGAACAAAATAAATAAATATATGAATGAATATATGAATTAAAAAAATCTCAAATAAATATATGATTAAAAAAATTTGATATCTCTCTCTCAGGAATAAGTGTCTCTCACTCAAAAATCTTTCTCTTTTTATATATGTTTAGAATATAATTTTAGTGTATTGTGCATACAAAGCTCAACTAGAATTTTTAAGTTTTGAGTAAATAGGCAATTATGCAATACAACTAAAGAGCAAGAAAAAAGTTTAAAAAAAATTGAAAACTATATGAAACAGAGCATGGTTATTTTTTTTTATTTTATTCACAATCTCCCCTTAAAAGAAAAAACGATATTGATAGAACAGCCTTAGTTTATATATGATACAGTATTATTCTATAGATAAACAAAGATGCCTGGAAATTAATAAGAATATTGCCCATCAAGGATAACTTTAATAATGGCCTACAAACCAAACTTTATCAAAAAGTTTTATATCAGTGACTGTTCCTGTCTTACTGCCTGTCTTAAAATTAAAAATATTTTACAGTAAAAATTTGTTATTACTTATATGTTATTACCATTATTTTTTCAGCAATACAAGCACCAAAAATATCAAAATTAATTGATTGTCAATAAGTTATAAACTAAGTAAAAATCAAAATATAATTTAAAAAATTACCTATTAGGTTCAGGATTCAAAAATTTGTTAATTTAAAACTTAATGACCCTAAAACATACTTTATACTTAAAGAATAAAATAATTATTTTATCTCGTATTTTGATAAATTTGAAATAAATCCCAATTAGCAAAAAGGATTTTAATATTTAAAACATCAAACCATGATTGAAATACAGTGAAAAAATGGACTGGGTGAGAAAACTATATTTAAAAAATACCTGGACAAGATAGAGTATTACATGGTTGTTCCTCAACATATACACCATCACAGTCATTGCCACCATACTTAGGAGAAGAGCAAAATCGATATCTTTGTTGGATACCTCCGCCACAGCCTTTAGTGCACTTGCTAATTACTGACCAACTAGTCCAAGCACCATTAATGGGGCTAAGTTCTTGGTAATTAATGAAAAAATTTTAACTTACAATTATAAAATTAATTTTTTTAACGTTTATATTTAAATTTTTTTTCAATTTTTTTTTTATTAAGAGCTATACTTTTTTCACAGTTGTCAGCAGGTGTATATCCATCATTACAAACACAAGTGCCATCTGAAGCACAACCCTAAAATAAGAAATATACAAACTATATGCTAAGATTAATTTTCTTTAGGTTTGAACTTATTTTATAAAAAAATCAATTTATTAAAAACTAATTTATTTTACCCCATTTCCTGAGCATTCCTTTCCACCTACTATTGGGCATGTCATAAAACCATGTTCATCAGCAGATCTGCATGCTGCATTGTAGCAAAACTAAAATAAATTTTTCTTTTCTTCTAAAAAAAGTAACTATACAACTAAAAAACACTATACAACATATATATATACACACACACACACATACATACACACACACACACACACACACATATATATTTATATACATATATATATATATATACACATATATACACATGCACAGATATTTAAATTAAACTTAAAAACCTTATTTTCTCCACATATAGTACCATCTAAAACCATTCCGGACTTGCCCTGCACACTTTCTGTGATGGATGCACCACTTTAATTAAAAAAATAATAAAATAATACATATCGGTACAACAAAATATTCAAAGATTTAAGCTAGTTTCAACTAAATTTTTTTTAAACAAAAGCCTAAATTCCCTAAAAAAGGTTGACAGGAGCAGTTTATGGGTTTTGCAAAAGTTTTTTCCTTCAAAAGTATAATTATTATTGTAAGTAAAATAAAAAAAACAAAATCATTTGAAAAAAAAAAATTTAATCACATAATAAACTGCAATGTAAATAAAGTGAGAGTGATCATTCCGTGCAAGTAAAACACACCCATAAATGGCTTTGCGAATGCAACAAATAGTGTTTTCTAATTTCATTATAAGAGTAAAAAATTGCACTCGTCTGAAGAATTTGCAAGATAGAAAAGTTTAAGTTGATTTTATAGAAAATATTTTGAGTAAAATATTTTTTACTAAAGTCGAAATATGTTCAACTAAACAGTAGAGTTTGCTTGTTGTTAAATAAAAAAGTTATATTTGTTATAAAGTACAACACCCTTAAATTAAAATCAAAATCTCAGTGCAAGAGTGCCAGTGATTTATTTCTGTTATTTGAAAGTTAAACTCAGCATCAAATTTTTTTGTTTAAATCCCTGTTGAACCTTATTATATTATCCACTTAATCATACCCTGGGTAATTCGAAACATTCACAAATTTTTACATTTTATTTGTTTCAAAAATCCAAAACTATGAAATTTAAAAAATTAAATAATAAGCATAATATAGTTTATCAAACTAAAAACTAATTTGAAGCTTCAATTTTGTCAAGGTTTTTCATATGACCGCATTCTATTTTTTAATGACTATTATATCTAATATTCAAAACCATCAAATAAAATTCAAATATCAAATACTTTTGTGTCAAATATAATTTAACTAACTAAATATTTTCACTTATATCTTTGAATTGGTTAAGCTTATAATAAAGTCTATTTATCAAAAAAAGATGAACAAAACTAAAAATTAGAAGTATAACAGAAAAGTTTGAAATATTAAGTCTCTTAACATCCATAAGTCAGACATTTTGGAAAAGTCTGACATATGGAGAGTTTTGCTTAATTCTTTGAGTTGGAAAAAAAAAAATCTCTTCACTTTGAGTTAATGAGATTTTACTGTATATTACTATTTGTTATATATATTGTTTATTTAAACTTTGAGAAGCATGCTCACAAATATATTTATTAGTTAATAAATAGTTATATATTTATTAAGTATATAATCAAGTATATAAAAAATAATTCACTTGATAATAATTAAATTGTGCATTCAGCTTAAATTAGAAAGCAGTTTTCTGATTTTATAATCTTTTCTTTCACTTAACATGAACTCTTCCTCAACTTTCTTTGTCATCCAAGGGACTCATAAAAGTAACCTTTTATATATAAATTTGCTTCTAAACTGCTTGCGAGTTTGTTTTATTATTAAAAAATATTTTTTATTTATCAAAAAATGTTTGTTTTCTTAAAGTCGGCTAATATTGCGCTTGAGGGTCTGTGTCTTTTTTTAAAATCTTTTTTTTAATACTTACTTTTTGAAATTTTTTTTTAAATAAACTTGAAAAATATAACTTACAACAAAATTTTGTCTAATATTAATATAAAAAAATATTAGATATGTGGAAGGACGAGAGTGGCAATGCAAATGAAATATTTGTAAGGCATTTGTATGTTATTTTGCTTTTATATAAAAAAAATTTTATCCTTTAAAAAATTATATTCCGCTCCTTTAATCTAGGAGGCTTAATAAGCACGAATGGCATAAGTGCAAGTTAGCATAAGTGTGAGGCGTTGCAAAAATTGGCACAAGTGCCAATTATTAAAAATTAATCTAAAAAATAAACATTTTATAGAGAAATTTGCCTTCTCTGCGTAATGAGACATAGCGAGGTCAGGCCAGAAAAAGATCTCGTCATTCTTATGAACTGTTTTGATGAATGGAATCAAACGCTTCATCAAGCACTTCTGGATGTAGACATCTTGATTGATCGCTTGGCCCGAAGGTATCACCAAGTGCTTCGACAGGCCGTCCTCGGCAATCCAAACAAGTACATTTGGCTCAAACTTGGACTTGCGCTTGAGTTTAACAGCTTCTGTAGTCATTTCGACATCAGACGTGTAGAAACCAGCGTTTCCAGATAGCTCTTTATTGCTCAATAAAAGATTGGACTCGTCATTCATGATCACCTTCTTTTTCCGGAAAACTCTGGCCAGGTGGGCACACTTCGGACGAACGGCTGATTTCTGTTGCGGAGTTCGATCCGAAACTTTTTTCTTCTTTTTGAATTTGATTGTTGTCTTGGTGCTAATTGTTTTTGATATGTGTTTTTGGCTGATACCATACTCGCAGGCTAGCTGACGCTGGCTAGCTAACGCTGGCTAACTCCGTCACTATGATCGATTTGCTTTTTCAGCATGATTCGCTTTGTGTTCATTTTAATTGCCACCCGTCCAATTCCACGCTGTTTTTCAATTTTGAGCCTATTTTTAGCGTCTTGCGCTGCAGAATATCATACAAGGTTGACCTTGATGCGCCTTCAAACATGAAGTGTCTTACAATCTCACTTTTCTTCATATCCGGATGCAAATTGATTAACACGCACACGTGCTTTCTGAGGTCTTCCTATTTTAATATAATTTTCTTTGCCATTATAAATAATTGTTTGCTAAAAGATATATTGCAATTTGTAGACAATTAAATTTACTACAACATAGCATAAGTTGCAACAATTTTGCAACACTCTTTAAACAATTTATGTCGACCGAACTTTTATCCGGATTTCTAAGTATAACATGTTAATTATTAATTAATAAATCTTTTCATTTTAAAAATAGGCTAATATTGGTTGTGAATTTGTAACTTTTTAAAATTTACTTTGTTCTCTTTTAAAAAAAAAATTATTTATTTTTAAAAGCGGCTAAGATTGCTTGTAGTTTTGTATTTCTTTTTATATCTTTTTTTTTGAAAAAATTTTTTTTTAACAAAATTGAGAAAGTAACTTACAATGTTATGTTAAAAAATGTTTAGTATTAATATAAAAATATACTACATTTGCGAAAGGACACGGGCTGCCAAAATATTTGTACTTTATGTTATTTTACTTTTATATAAAAATTTTTTATCTTTTAAAAGAAAAATATTCTGCTCCTTTAATTAGCAAATACTCTGTTTCTTTAGGATAAAAAGCTCAACTTAATAACACATATCTAGATAAATGCATTGCTAAATATCGTAGCTCTCTGTAATGACTAAAAAGTAGAAAATAAAATATAGCAAAAACATTTGCTAAAATTATAATCTTTTTGAATTAAAAAGTAGAAAATAAACCTTTTAATTTAAATTTATTAGTTCTGTAACCTAAAGATTGACAGGTATATTTCTAAATAAACATTGCGCAGACCTGTCAATCTTTAGTTTACAGAACTATTAAATTTAAATTAAAAAGTTTATTATTATTTGTAATATGTATTGTTTATTTATTGAAAGCAGTTTTCTTTTTTGTACTAATAAGGAACGAAAAGTTATAAAGTCATTACTACTAACAAATAGAATGGAATGTTTAATATTTTCAAAATAAGTTTGTTCAAATGAGAATATAAAATTTAAATTAAAAGTTTTATTTGCGTAAATTTAATTTTATTTATTTGCAAAAAAGAAGATTAATTCAAGTTGACAATTGACCTGAAGACTGCAAGATTGGTGACACCAACGAAATCATTTTTAAAGCAACTTGATGATGACAACCAAATAGACAGTACTGTCTATTTGTTAGAAGTCTGTCATATTCATTGCTTTTGAAATTAAATGGTGCTAAATGATCCTTTATTGGAAACTTTTTTAATTATAAGCTCTTTCTTGGTCAGAGTTCTATTATTTTTTGTGAAAATTGATAGAAATATTGTATTTTGATAACTATATATAGTTAATTTACGTCAGAAACGATTAGAACTAGGATTTATAGTAAGTTAAAGTACTTTTTTAAAAGATTTTATCAAAATTCATCTTAACGCCAATGAGCAAAATCTAAAGACTCCAAAATGGTGTTCGTTAAATTCACTAAAGGTAGTAAAAAGGTTTTGAAAATTATATATAAAAAGTTTCTTAAAATAATAAAAAAACCTGAAGCAAAAAAAATTATAACATCTAAAGCTCTTGTTTGAACATAACACGCCAATAAAATCATGCTAATTCGTTTAATTAATTTAATTTGTTTTATTTTTGCACTGGGTCTTCTTTAAATTTAATAGTTTATGTGTTATGCGGATTATGTATTTATTGGATTCAAGTATTAGAATCTCACAGACAACGGATTCCAAATCAGCAAACCCATTTGTGCCTTAAAAAAAAATTCATGGTGTCCATGAAAATTAGTAATTTCATATGGCACCATATTACACCATGTGAAGAAAGTTTTTCTTATCATCTTGTAATCTATATGAATGTATTTAGTAAAAAAATCTAATAAAAAAAACCAGCTAATTTTTTGAGCCCCACCATGGTATTAAAACATAACACAATTAAAAATAATAATTTTTGGACTAAATTTTGTTGTTTCAATTTTTCGGTGCTCATTCAGTTATGGATGAACCTTCAAAAAAACTTAAAAAAAACACACATATATACATTTATAAATATAAAGACCACAACAGTCAAGGAGTCATAAAGACCATAACAGCTACTTTTTATTAATATTTTCTTTTTTCACCTCTCTCTTTATCTCTATCAACCACTAATTCCAAAACACAAGCCTTGATGATGAGACTGTTACATAATGTTATAAACAAAATATTATAATAAAAAAGAAATTACAAAAACGAAAAAGTACATAAAAAAAACCTGCAAATTTGATTGTCATATGTAAACTGTTTATAATCTGTTCCATAATCAGGTTTTTTGATAGGTTTTGCTTGCTTTGCATAACATTGTAGTTGACCACATTTAACATTACTTAAAATAAAGAAGTAATTATGTATTATTTATAATAAATTTATTTTAAATGTCTAATAAATAGTAAATACAAACATAGTACATCTGCATATGTTATATACATATCTAATTTATTGCCTGTAGTTAAGTAAAAAATCTTAGCATACCTAGTCATACATGATGTATTTTTTGTAGAATCACAAGTTCCAAATCCATTTTGAATTGTGTTTAGATTATTCCAACAAGAATCGGAAGCAACCAAAGCATCTATAATTTGTTTTTTATAAAATATATTTTAAAACAATATGAAAAAAAGTATTTTACAAGTATTACTTTTTAAAGCCAAAAAAAAACTTTTTGTTAGTATTTTTGCATTTTTTATCTTACACATACATAAAAAAAAAGTCAATATAGAGTTAGAAAATTTCAAATTGTATATAACAAAAGGTGTAAATAAAGTGGTAAAAAAATGAAACTCTAACAGCTATAAAAATAAAAGAAAATGAAAAAATGAAAGTTTATATCTTTTAGTTAGTAGTAGTTAATATTGAGCTTTAACAGTGAGTGTGTTATTAAGCTTTTTTTTTCATTAGAAAGAAATCTTACTGATGATATCAGTTTAGTAGCATTATGCTGTATTCTTTTTTATTTTGTCACAATCAGATTTTAGAAAGGGTTGACCAGACTGGAACTGCAAACTCTAGTAATGGACAAACAACTCTTTGTCTTTTGCTTCCTAGGAAATCTTCAATCCATTTAAAAATTAGACCATCAAAGTTGTATTTTTTATTAGACCATCAAAGTTGCTTTCAGTTTGACTAGCAACCTTTTGTGTTTACAGTGTCAAAGGCTTTGTAAAAATCTAAAAAAACTACATCAACTGGAATACTGACGACTAAGTTTGCTGAAATGTAATCAAGACTTTCTAAAATATTAGTGGTACATGATTTGTTTTAACAAAGCCATATTGCTGTCTTGCTAGTAGATTATTCTTATACAGGTAATCTTCCATTTTATCTCTAATTATACTTTCCAAAATTTTACATGGGACCAAAGTCAAACAAACTAGAGGATAGTTGCTTGGCAGAGTCTTATCACCTTTTTTGAACAGTGATGTTATGTTCGCTGATCTGAATTGAACTGGAAGCTGACTATTAGTTAAAGATTAAAAGTTAATGTTAGAAGAATAGCAAATGCTTCAGCACAGTTTTTGAGCAGAAATGGATGCATATTATCAGAACGACATGCTTTGTTTTGAATAAAATTTATTAGTTTGTCTAATACCATTTTGTAACTGATGTCATTTGGACCTAAGTTAACAAACTTTAAATAATTTTTATCAAATTCAAATTTAAAATATGGAAGTTCAACTTCTTTAATACAAAAACATTTGGAAACATTTGTTTAGTAGTTTTGTTATTTTTTTTTTTTTTTTTTTTTTTTTTTTTTACATTATTCACCTCCCCAAGACCCGAGGGGGCCACTACAGTCGAGGAGGCTACTCATTTTTTTTTTTTTTTAATTTTTATTTTTTTGTTGTATTTCGTGATACAACCCTCTCTCAACTCTTTAACTCCGAAACACGAACCTTGAGAAGCAAGGCCGCTGTGCGGAGAAACTAAGTTGAGCGCGGTACTTCCAGGGACGTGGTGGGAGTCGAACTCCGAACCTCTCGCTTACAAAGCGAGCGCTCTTACCACTACACCACTGCCGCATTTCTCTAGGTTTTTAAGTTAGATCACCATTGGCTGTTTTTACTGCTCTGATTGATTCTTTGAGTAATTGTTGGCTGTTCAAATATTTATATTAAATGATAATTATATAATATTAAATTTATACTAATTTGCAAGTTAGTTTATACTCTTTGCACAGTTTAAAATCTTTCCATTTAAATGCACAGTTTATGTATCTGAGATTTTTTTTTTCTAATTGATCCACGGAAAAATTTGTTTTTTTATTCGAAATGTATCAAGAACTAGAGTAAATTGATTACATGGCACATTTAACAGGTGAATTATTTTATCGTACATTTACTGAACCAATAGGGTTTAAAAGAGCAGTATCCAATCAACGCTTTTAATGTAAATGCTGATACAGATTTTGTTAAGAGTTAAAGTTCTGCTCATTACTATTTTTATTTTTAATGTTAGTGACAAAACCATTTCACCAAATGATAGATAGGAAATTAAAATCCCCAATAATTAGTAAGTCTTTATATCCTTTTCTATCAACATACTTTTTGGTTTTTTCGAAAACCACATCAAAATCGTTTCAAAATGAGTTTTGAATATTCTATTTCTTTATTTTTTTCATTTTTTGTTCTCAAGTTGATTTAATTGATTACCACGATTCAAAAGCATCTTTACTTTTTGTTTTTTTAATCAATTCTTTGCACAGATTTTTGAAAGGAGGGCTACCACCCTACAAAAGGAGGGCTACCACCCTACAAAAGTGGATTACCACCCTACAAAAGTGGATTACCACAGGGTCATGAAATATTCAAATATATTAGCTTATTATAACAAATAGAACTATGAGTGTTTTTTCCATATTTAGTTTAGAATAAATGTTATAATTTGTTGTTTTTTTCAATTGTGTCAAATCAGGTATTATACACATGAACTTAATTTTTTTTCATGGGTTGAAAAAAATGAGGTAAAAATGTCTAATTATTAAGTTCAACATAATTGAAATCTAACTTAAACCAATTTTAAACTGATTTGGAAGAAACTGAGCACAAATTTTAATCAAAAGTCAAGAAAAAGGAAGCTTTTGTTTCTATTTATTGATTATAATTTTATTTATTCTAATTATTAAAATTTTTCAACCAACCAGTCTTTATTAAGAATTTATTTGGTGAGTTCAGAATAAAAACTTTTCTATGCTGAAAAATTTCGGAGGCATTCCATGTAAATACAGTTCAACAACTTTTTGAGTTTATAAAAACAAACTTAATTTTTAAAAACAAAATTATTAAAAAAAACTTTATACAAATTCTTACCTGATTCCCACAAGTTACGACATTGCTGTTTTAGCGAAGGAGTACACGAACCAGAGAAACAATAACTTTCTAAATTCTATAAATTACAATATTTTAGTATTATATTATATAAAAGGTCTTCAATCTTCTTACCTTAAATTAAAGCATCCTGGGGAACTTTCTAGAATTTTTTTGTTGCACAATTGTTTTTAAATCAAGTGAAAAAAATCATTGGATAGACAAACCTTTTTCTCATTGGCATCACTTTCTAAATAGTCAACCCATACAATATTGTCAGCAGAGTATTGTAAACTGTAGCCAGTTGTTCTATCCCAGTTTGTTGGGCGCATTTCCACATTTGCTATCCTCACATTCTTAAAAAAAATGTAACAAAAAAAAATTAAAGTAAAGTAAACACATTTCAGATTAACAGAAGATACTTTTTTATAATAAATGTTAAAAAACAAAAAATTCTGTCTTGGAAAATTAACATGCAGTATTACCTCTCCAAAATCAATTTGAATCCAACTTCCATTGCTAATTTTAGGACACCAACCAATATTAGTCAATATCACATTAGACGGTTTAAATAAATCACTATATACACTACTGGCAGTATATGCAGATTCTTGTAATGCTCTATTACTCATCCCCAAAGGTACATCACAATCTAAAATAAAAAGAAGTTACAATAAAAAATAGTTCAATAAACTGTAATGAAAAAACAGTCACAAAACACATAAATATAAAAATTTACAACAATAGGCGATGTCCGTTACACAATAATACATAAACTTACATTCCTAACCAATATTGAACTGTATTAATATAATATATTTCATAAACAACAATCTATTTAAGTGGGGTATTCTAAAAATATCACAACAGCAATATTTCTAGTTTATAATTGATAATTTTTAAGTTGTATTACCAAAAACTTAAAATAGAACTTATGCTATTTTGCTTTACATCTATTGATATGTACTCACTTACTAAACAATTAGACCTAACTAATCCTTAAGTCTTTTAGTTAACAAAAGTATAATTGCAAATAAATGTAAATAAAATAAACATTAATGAACTTTAAAAGAATTTTCACAGTAAAAATAAATGTTAAAACAAGTTATTGTAAAAACTTTTAGAAATTCTATACATTTTTACACTTTGACAACGTAAGCATATAAAGTCAGTTGTTAAATTTTTTTATTTTGTGCACTGTCTATATTTTTCTACTGCTTTTAGATTTTTTAAAACAATTTTAAAAAATAAAAACATTTTCCAGGGTTTCATCATATTTGGTACTATTGTATACCTAATGTTTTTTAATTAGTATGTTTTATTTTAAATGTAAAGCTCTAAAATCAGTTTGTATTTTTAAAATTAAGTTTTTAAATATATATATATATATATATATATATATATATATATATATATATATATATATATATATATATATATATATATATATATATATATATATATATATATATATATATATGCAAACTCCAAACTTTTGTATGTTCATACTTATGTCAAATGAGAATGTTTTGCAAAATATTGTGGTGATTGGAGCTTGGGGACAAAAAAACCCAATTTTCGGGCCCACCCAGCCCTTAACGTGGGGGCAACAAGTTGATAAAATAATTTCTTTAGTACTTTTATCTAAGTTTATATTCATCAACGAATTTCAAATGCAATAACCTCTTAGTTTTTAGTTTTTATGACCCTACAAAGTTTACAGCCCCCTCAAATTTAGGGGGTTAAAACTTTATATGGTCAAATTTTCGAAAAATAAAAAATTATTGGATGAAATTTGTTGAAAATTATAAACTTAGATAAAAATACTAAACAAATTATTTTATAAACTTGTTGCTCCCATGTTAAGGGCTGGGTGGGCCCGAAAATTGTGGTTTTTTTGTCCCCAAGCTCCTTACACCACAATTTTTTGCAAAACATTCTCATTTGACATAAGCATGAACATACAAAAGTTTGGAGTTTTCAAAATGTGTGTAAGTGTCAAAACTCAAACATCTAAAAGTCCAGTGTACACCACTGATATATATATATATATATATATATATATATATATATATATATATATATATATATATATATATATATATATATATATATATATATATATATATAAATATATAAATATATATATATATATATATATATATATATATATATATATATATATATATATATATATATATATATATATATATATATTTATATATATACGTAAATAAAGCTACCCTAAAGTAATATCAAAATATAAGAAAAAACACTTCTGAATTACATAAGCTAATAAAACTAACAAAGGAACTAATTAAATGAATAAACATTTATAAACAAAAATAAAATAAATATGTAATTAAAATACTTTTATATATTAAATTAATATCATTTTTTATTTAATAATAAAAACATTAGTGTATTTTTCAAATGAAGAAATTTGCATACTAATGAATATTAACTAAAATATTTTTTTTATTAAAAAACCTTATCTAAGACAAAATAAGAAATTAGAATAACAACAAAAATATTTTTTTTTATACCTAAAATATTTATGACAATTACTTTCCGATCATATGTTAAAGTACATGTGTCTCCAGGCCAATTATCTATTCTAGCTGCATAATCATGTGTAGGCCAGCTGCCACCTGGTGCGGAACATCCTACACAATTTTTGCTTTGAATGTGTTGAAGTGATTTTTCCTTTAATAAAATATTGAGCAATAAAGATAAAAACAATGATTTTGGTTCAAAACTAATTTCAAAATTTTCTTTAAAAATATCATTTTTAGTCAACAATAAATTAAAAAACTATTTATTAATATAAATACTACAAATTACTTATTTTGTAAACATTTTCTAACCTTTGTTAATTGAAACCTTGGTGTTTCTCCGAGACAATTAGTTCTTAAAATTAAATTAAAATTAGTGTCTATACAGACTTTTTTTTTACTGCAATCATGTGTTAATGTACCATCAGCAGCAAACAAAAATTTCATATAATCATGTTCACAGTGGCCTGATCGTGTATCCCTATCAATATACTTAATGATTGTTCCATCTAAAACTGTTTCACTACAGCTAGTAATACTTGGGGTAATACAAAACGGAGAATGGTAATATAATTCAGCTGAAGTTATTGAAGTTGGAAGATTGATATAATCTAAAAAAAATGTTATAAATAGGATATTATTGTAATTTTATATAAATAATATATTATATAATATCTTAAAGATAAAAATTCATTATAAACTTATATAATGAATTTATTTTAATTGTTTTCAAAATAAAACTTTTTATATTAATATTACTATATTATTTAACTATAGCATATTAAATATTTATGTACATAATTATTATATTGGTTTATTATAGTTTATATTTTAAGTTAAATGCCTCTTATCTTTTTAAGTTATAAAAGATTTTCAAAGTTATTTCTGCATATTTACTTTTGGTAAATGAAAATTGAAATTAGGTGTAAATTATTCTGATGAAACAATGATTAAAACTAATATAAAAGTATATAGAAATAAGAATTAGTAATGGAGTGTAACTATTTTTATGTACTTATGAAGCATTAACAATTATGCACCATTATCTTGTAAATAAAAAAGCTACTACATTACTCTAGGATATAATGTTTACCTAATCATGCAACTAATTAGCAAATAAAACAAAAATTTATTTGTCCAATTATTAACATTACAAAAATATATTCGTCCATTCATTAACATTACATTTCTTGACACAAATGCTATGTCAAATGATTACAAATAAAAACTGCTTTCAAATAAAATTCAGTTTAACACAAAGTTAAGTGTAATAATAAAATTTTTAAAAACAAGTTATTATCACATTCTATTATTATTTTAATAAAAAATTTATTAAATGGTAGTTATATTTATTTAAATCACATTTTTAAAATTTATTAAATAATAGTATAATTATCTAAAATATTTTTAGTATATATGTTAATAGTATTAATATTATACACAATAAATTCGATATAAGAATACATAAATATTTCAAATAATACCTGGAACTGCAGGACAACCACGAACATCAGCTTTAAAGCATGCTGTTTTTCCAACATTCCATTGCTTAGGTAAAATTCTTAAATATCTACTGATTATTGGAGGAGAAAGTTTTGCAATAGCTCGTGAAGAGCCACCAGTAGGTCCAACAAAAAACTGAAAATGTTCCGAATAAATTTATAACTTCAATTATATATAATATATATAATTTTTTACTCAAATATATATGTATATAAATATATATATAAATATATATATAAATATATATATATATATATTTATATATATATATATATATATATATATATATATATATATATATATATATATATATATATATATATATATATATATTTGAAAATAGCTAAATGTAAATCAATTATAAAAAAAAATGTGTAAGCACCTTTACAAAATTACCGCAGGGAATTCCATTTCGCAAAATTTTATCATTTGGACACTAAATTTAAAAATTTTAAATAATAATATTAGTTTTAATAGATTTATGACATTAAAATAAAAAAAAAAACTAAAAAAACTGTATATACAGTGGCTTTGTCTCCTTCACAGAACTCTGGTAAATCACATTCACTAGTTGCTCCCCTACATAAAGTTCCTTGTTTCCTGAACTAAAGATAAATAACTGTATAAAAAAAGTTTGATAGTTATATATAAAAAAACTATTTATTTAATATTATATCATTTTCGTAAATACATGAGATGTTTTGTAAATGCAACCTTCTGTACTTTTCCAGAATAATAAATAGACAGGCAAAATACTGGCTTGGGCAAAACACTGGCTTGTGCAACAAATTATTATACGACTAATTGGCAAGACAGGCAAATTAATGACTTAGCTGTGCACAAATTAGACTAGAAGTTTCAATTTTAAAGGGTTTTCTGGTTAAATAGTATGCCATTAACAATTAAATAAGATTTTAGTTTTTTATAAAGAGTAGTTTTTTTTTTCTTTATCAGGAATGGTATTTGGAAGTATATTTTAAAGTTTTTAACTGTAGTGAGATACCAAAGCTCAGTTACCAAAACAATTACTGGATTTGTTTCCTTTAAATTTAGTGTTCTTTTTGAAGTTGAGTAGTATATTAAGCTACATAATGAGGTTGGTGCTTCATTAATAATAGATATGTACATTATCAAAAGTACCATAAAATAGAATCATTTTATGATTTTCAGCGAATACATTTTCTAATTGCTGTTATTTACTTGATATTCATTTCTGGTTTTAAATACTAATTTGCTACACAATATTGAGCCGATAGTGTTTATTTAATAGTGTTATTTTCACTCCATAGTAGAGGGAGATGCAATAGTCTAGCTGTGAAAAAGTTAGTAAACATATTAAGGAGCACAAATCTTTATGCAATAAGAACTGTGTTATTTGGATGTCTTTCTCATTATTTTGTAACAGTTTTTAAATAACTTTTTTATATGCGCTTTGTAAGATATACAAAAGATAGTTTGTAAGATAATTCATTGTCGACCTAAACAGAGTCAACAAATATTATGGTACCCTTTTTGACAAAAGTACCTTTTATAATATTATTTGAATGTTAGGCGGTGTCATAACTAATATTTTTGTTTTCTATTGGTTGATGCATAAAAACGAATCACTCATCTATTCAGATATACAACTGAGATGTTTTGATATATTTAGGGCTAGTGTATTAAATTAAAATAAAGGAAGGGATGCTCTAATATTGATTATGTTTAGATATAAACATCTGATATAGATACTAAACACTACTGGATCAAGGACTGTACTTTGCGGTGCTCCATATTTTACATTTTGGCTTGTAGAATATGAGTTACAAGTTTTAACTTTTGGGTACAGGTAACTTAAAATTTAAAATTAATTTTACCTAATTCACTAGTAACCTAAATAGTTTTTGCTACTCAATAGCTTTAAATGCAGCACTTAGATAAAAAAAACATTAGTACTTAAGGTACTATTTATCAAAACGTTTAAATATATGTGGGAATCAATTTAAAACTACTTTACTATTAGCTTGCTAATGAATAATAAATTAGAAACTGGACCATAATTTTAAAAGTTTTCAGTATTTGTAGCAGAGTCTTATTATTTTATTATTGGAAGTAATGTAGCATTTTTTAGAAAATTCTTACTGCTGGATCCTAGTGATATGTTTCAACCAATATATGCATAAACGTTTGTAAATTATTCCTCTGGTGAACATTTTACTCTAAATGACATAGTTAATTTTTATAAAATTTCTCATACGTTTCTGCTACAGCATGGGGCTCACAGTGGCTGGTGAACCTTAATTCAGATAAAACTCAATTTTTTTCAGCCAATCGTTATCGCAATAATTTAGATCTTCCTATATTTATGAACAATAATGTACTTGATGAGTCATCTGCCCTTTATCTTCTAGGATTAACTCTTACTTCTGATCTTTTTTGAAAACCATATATTAAATCCGTTGCGAAATTAGCATCTGCTAAAGTTGCATCTCTTTATCGAGCGCGACACTTTCTTACCCTGGATTCTATTCTCTATCTCTATAAATCTCAAATCGGACCTTGTATGGAATACTGTTGCCATATCTGGGGCGGATCTTCTAATGATGCCCTTTCTTTTTTAGACAAGTTACAAAAACGCATTGTAAACATAGTTCGACCTGCTCTTACAACCAACCTTTAACCATTATCGCATTGTCATAATGTTGTTTCTCTTTCTCTTTTCTACAAATACTATAATGGGCACTGCTCTAAAGAGCTAGCATCTCTTGTGCTCTACTAAAATTCATTCTGGCGTTACTCATCATTCAATGAAGTCTCATTCTTTTTCTGTTACTGTTCCTAAGTGCTCCAAAAACTCTTATTTGTCTAGTTTTTTTCCTTAAACATCGGTTCTTTGGAATTCACTTGCTTTATCTTGCTTTCCTGATTCATATAAATTTTTAATTTTTTAAGTCGCCTGTCAATCGTTATCTTGCTCTACAATCTTCATTTTTTTTCTTCCAACACGTAACTTCCAACACGTGATTAGTGGTTGCTTGCAGTCTTGTTGAAAGCAAAGATGTTTTAAAAAAACAACATTACTGGATCAAAATTGTTTAAAAACCGACCATTGTAATCTGATTTGCTTTTCTTTGTTTGAGATATTTGAAGACTAGATTTAATTTTATTGATTTTTTCATTAAAATATATATTTAAGTTGTTAGCAAGTTCTTGGTCTGATTCTAATGAGATTACAAATTCTTAAGTTCTGACCAGTAGCTTATTTACCATTGAAAATTGATTTTTACTTGAAGGTTTTTTATTTAATATGTTTAAGACATGTTCTTTTTTTAAAAAAAAGCAAGAACTTTTTTTTCTAAACGTATAAACTTTTTTATGACACATTTTTTGTTCTCTTATAATAAATATATGTACCAACTTAGTCTATGGATGATTTAAACACTGGTTTAAAAGAATGACTAAACCACCATCTTGTACAATCTAATTATCTAATTATCTTTTTTTTTCTCTTTCTTTTTTTTTTGTTTGTTTTTAAGTAATTAGATTAGCAGATCTAGTTTTACTTTTAACAAGATTCAATTTTAACTTTAACTTTTATCAAGTTAAAGGTTGTACTTTTATCAAGTTAAAGGTTGTACTTTTATCAAGTTAAAGATTGTACATTTATCAAGTTAAAGGTTGTACTTTTATCAAGTTAAAGGTTGTACTTTTATCAAGTTAAAGGTTGTGCTTTTATCAAGTTAAAGATTGTACTTTTATCAAGTTAAAGGTTGTACTTTTATCAAGTTAAAGGTTGTGCTTTTATCAAGTTAAAGGTTGTACTTTTATCAAGTTAAAGGTTGTACTTTTATCAAGTTAAAGGTTGTACTTGGATTTCATAAAGCTAATGTAATTTTCAAAAACCAGTTTTTTCACTTAGCTAATTTTGAAAAGAGATTTTGTTTGAAATCTTTTCATACTCATTGATAAGTGTAAAGTTTTCATCTAATTTTATAAAATGGTACTTAATGCTCATTCATGTGTTTTTTGATAGAGCTTTTAAAAAAATTAAATCGGTGAAAAATATCTCTGAAGAGGATTAGATGAAAAAATATATAAAATTAAAATATATAAAGTATTTTTATTGATAGCTAATAATAAACTTTTGTAATTTTATTTTACATTTATTTACTGCTAAAGTTAATGAATACTTCTTCAAGCAGACATTCTAGAATGAAGCTTATTTAAGTAATCATCACTAAAGAATAAAAACGTGTCACATTACTGATTAAAATATATGTAAAAGTAATTAAGGGTAAGTAATTAAGTAAGGAAGGGAAGAGTTTTTGATTCAATCTTATTTATTCTCTTTATTTTTTACACAAACCTCACACTTGAAACTATTCTTGAAAAATATATGTTGATGACATCTCCACTTACATTATCTATGATAATGTAGGTTGAGACTTATTAACTTATCTTAATCTATTGTTGATGGTGTTGCACTTTGGTCTGTTGTCAGTGTTATAAAACTCAACAGCTTAAACTGTTAAGTCATTAAAATTAATGCCAGATGCTCCAATAATCATACTTTACCATCGCCCATTCTCAATTATACTGAGAATTGACAAATTGTTGCAGTTACAAATACCATGGATTGTAGAGCTACAAGCTACAAATACCGTGGCATCCTACTCAATGAAAATCTTAATTATATATATATATATATATATATATATATATATATATATATATATATATATATATATATATATATATATATATATATATATATATATAAATATATATATATATATATATATATACATACTTTTCATAAACATATATAGAAATCAATCATTTTGTTAGATAATAAAGATAAATAATGAAACACTATTTTAACTGTTTTTTTAAATGGTTCAATACCGTTTAAAAAAACACTTGAAATTAGCAAATTAGTCTTTGAAATAAATATAAAAACTAATACAAAACATGAAGAAGTTAGTTATGATAAAAATTAAAATTAATCTTAATAAAAGCTCAAAAGAATTTAAAATTTTTTTAAATTTAAAATTAAAACAATTAAAATATTTTAAATAGCTAGAAAGACAAAAACAAAAGTTTCATACTTTCATACTTTCTATTTCACTCAACACTTTTTTCTGCTCCTCAAGTCGTAATATTTCTTGATTCAACAAAATAAACTTTTTCTTTTTAAATAAAATCAAATTGCAGAAGTTGCCTCTTATTGATGATGTTGCATAAAACATCTTTTTTCATTATTAGACTCATTAAGCTTTAAACAGTTGAAAATAAATCTTTAAAGAGATAGAGTCTTTTTTAGGCATCTGTCTGATATGTCATCTAAAATTTCTGCATCAAATTAGCAATGTAACAGAAAAAATTTATATATAAAAATTTAATTGTTCAATATAAAAATTTAATTGTTCAATATAAAAATTTAATTGTTCAATATAAACGTTAAATCATCTTTAGTTCCCTCTAAGACTCTCACAACTCTTGCTTACAACACAATATGCCTGCTACCTTTGGTCTTTGACCCAGCCTATTATACTGGGTTGAAGACCAAAATCTTATTACTGCAAAATGCATATGGAAATTTTTACACAATCAACTTTTCTGGCATGAGAAACATGTTAATGTTTGCATGAAGCTTTTATTAACTGACCTGATTGAAAGCCAGTTTTAAAAGCACCATGGATTACATGGAGCTTGCAACTCTTGCAGCACTTGTTATAAATATTTGTATTTAACACAATATATTCACTGTTAAATACAAATCACAAAAAAACTAATATTTAGATCCATTTTACAATTTTAAAAAGAATCATTCTTTTATCAAACAAAAAGGTATAAAAAGTAGATTTCTTGATATTTTTGTTAAAAGTATGTGTAACCAATGCCAAAAACCAAAATATTTAACCAGGTTTTTGGTTTTTGATATCTCTAATGATTTAGCAGTTTTTCAATTAGAAAACATTTTTTGAAGCAATAGACCATTCTCATTAAATTGATTTTAATGAGAAATTGTTTTTTGTAAAACAGAAGAGATTTCTGCAAAAATTTTATCAGATTCATTTATTAAAAAAACTGCTTGTTTTTTGGATGTAGATTGTGCAGGCTTGAAGTAGGAGCATATTGGTTTTGGCTTCTGAACATGTTCTTTCCCCTCCATTCAAAAAGTCAAAACTCTATGATTTATATTTGAAAAGTGAAATTAAACTTGGTATACTTTGCACTTGGTTGACTTTTTATCTGCCCTATTTACAAGCAATTTGTTTAACAATGGATCACTCAAACATTCTTTATTGAAATAAGTTGCCATTTAAAAACTTTTAATCTTTATTTATTCTCAAAAAAGATAATAAAAATACAATATGGTTTTAAAAAAACTCTTCACATGTTGCAGCTATTTTTACAGAAAAAAAGTACCTGATAAACTCATTTAAATTATTAACAATCGTTCAACTTAATCCTGACTAAATATTTTGCTTAATTTTTTTGTTTGATTTATACTGTAAATAAATAATAAAAATAAATGTTAATTTATTTTATAATGATCAAATAATAATATATATGAACAATCTTTGGAGCTATCTGACTATCTTATTAGTAACATTAAATGGAATATTATTTAGAATAAAACATTTTCAAACATTAAAATAAAATAATACAGAATTAAAAAATTCCTTGATTTTCCCAGACATTTAACTAAACCAATCTTTTTTCCCTGGTTTTCCCTGAAGATATCTAAATTTCCCTGAATTCCCTGATTTGGTGGCTAACCCTGTATATAGGGTTGTACAAAATTAGTTGTATTAGGATTTTTAACAGCATTTGTTCCAAGTAATTTGTTCCAAGTTTCAAACTACTCAGTTTAAGAAGAAATTTTCTACATAAAAATTACAATTTTTAGAAAAAAAAAATTGTTTCAACGGACTTTAGCGGAAAGTCTGCATTTTTTTAGAAAAAAAAAAAAAATACTTGCCGTAAGAACGTAAAAAAAAAATTTCAACAACAAACTTTGTAAAAAACTTGCTCCCTGCCCTTTTTTCCATTTGTTTATGTATGCAAATGAAATGGGTAAATTTTCGGTGGAATCAAATTTCAAGATTAAAAGAAATTATTTTATAAGATTTTTTTAATTTAAATAAAATTGAATAAAAAAAATTCTTATACAATAGTTTCTTTCTTTAAAAAATTCAAAATTCAAATAGTGGTTACATGCATTTTTTTTATGACCAAATATTTTCTCAAAAAAAGTCACATAAATAATATTAAAAGACAATTTAAATATTCAAATATACAAAATAAAAAAGTTTTTTGCTTAACATGAAACTTTTTTTGATTGCCTTTCATAGAATACAAGCAGCATAATGCATTTTAACAAGGTTTTCAATCTTTCTATCTTTTTTTTACAAATTCAGTTCTATTACTTTATCTATAAATCCTTAAACGAAAAATTAAGGATTTATAGATAAAGTAATAGAACTGAATTTGTTTAAAAATAAAAATAAAATTTTATTTTGTTTAAACAACAAAACTTTAAAGATTTTATTTTAGAAGTAATTTTTAAAATGTTTTTGAAAATGCTCGTACAATTTTCTTATGTTCTAATTAATACTAGAAAATGCGGAAAACAAACTTTAGCATTGTGATTTTCAAAATATAATTTTATAATTATTTTTGAAATTTACTTTTCTTTTCATAGAATTCTTAAATTTTTTTTTTTTTTCAAAAAGATGGTAATCTTAAAAAACCTGTCCAAACAATTTAAGTGTAGAACCATCAACATAAAAACTTAAAAAAAAAATGCAATCATTAGCATGCTATAAAATAGTTACCAAACAAGATGGCTGACAGCATTCTGGATTTATTACATAATTGCATTGTGCTGTGGCTTTTAAAACACAATTGTTTGGTTCACAACAATCATCACCATTTTTTTGACACATCTAAAGTTGATATTTAAATTGTATAAATATTTTTGTTTTTTATTTTAAAAAATATTACTTTTTTATTATCTATATTATTTATTACACAAGCAAGTAAGAAAAGAAATAAAAGTTATAATAATATTTTTATATATTATACACTATTATAGTTTTCTTCAAAAGAACAAACATATATGTTTTATAATAACATATATCATATCATTACATATGTACTTTATAAGTTTTTTAATAATTGTAACAAATATTATGTTTTTCTATCATTACAACTGCTTAAATAAAGCTTCAATATAAGAAATAATAGGGTGTTTACTTTTTTAGGGTGTTTACTTATGCTCAATTTTTTTTTTCACAAACAATTATAGTTAAAATTAACGATAGTTATAATTACGTTAATAAATGTTTGTTTATAAAGCTTTACATTAATTAAAAACAATTTTACATTAGAACAAATTAATAAGATTTATTTCTATATCATAGAAGCCATGTTATACAAGTCAAATACATTAGTCAAACTTTAACCCATAAAATATTTACAAATGTAAAAGCAAATCCTAAAATGACTAAATGTCTAAAAAAATAAAAGATAAATATTTTATTATTTTAACATTAAAAACAAAGATTCAAAAACAAACTATAAATATTTTATAAAGATTAAGAACAAAAGTTTATTTATAAATGTATTTTCTAAAACCTCTAAAGTTCCACAATCACATTCTTCATTTCCTTCACGAACCCCATTCCCACACGCATTAGTCATGGGCTAAATCAAAATAAATTTAATTAAATAAATTATTATATATATATATATATATATATATATATATATATATATATATATATATATATATATATATATATATATATATATATATTTATATATATATATATATATATATGTAATTTCCTCGCAAGAAAACACAACGAGAAATTTTATTCATCTATCTCATCATTAAACTAACTTCTATTTCACCTTGTTCTTACAAAATCAATCGATAATTTATATTATACTGCAAACCTCTAATATTCATTTAAAACCGTGTAAACATATTAAATATAATTACTAATCAAAAATTATACTAATCACAAACTGCATAGTTGTCACTAACTGTTTTTAGAGTTTACCACAACATAATTACACTCCTCTTTGATCCTCAAGGATCACACAAACCATCAGTCATTCAAGTCATCAGCTCTCATAACTTCATCCGTCATTTCAAATTTAACGTTTTTAAGTTCTTTGTTCTACATTCTTTGTTCTACAATCTTTGTTCTACGATTTTGGTTCTACAATCTTTGTTCTACAATCTTCGTTCTACAATCTTTGTTCTACTATTTTTGTTTTACGATTTATCTTTTTCTATTATGGCTTCATTTTTCTCTTTAGCCCGTAATTAGTTAGCTTAGCTTGTAATTTCCTCGATAGCTTCTAATTTCCTCGCAAGAAAACACAACGAGAAATTTTATTCATCTATCTCATCATTAAACAAACTTCTATTTCACCTCCTTCTTACAAAATCAATCAATAACTTATATTATACTACAAAACTCAAATACTCATTTAAAACCGTGTAAACATATTAAATATAATTACTAATTAAAAATTATACTAATCACAAACCGCATAGTTGTCACTAACAGTTTTTAGAGTTTACCACAACATAATTACAATATATATATACATATATATATATATACATATATATATATATACATATATATATATATATATACATATATATATATATATATATATATATATATATATATATATATATATATATATATACATATATATATATATATATATATATATATATATATATATATATATATATATATATATATATATATATATATACATATATATATATATATATATATATATATATATATATATATATATATATATATATATATATATATACATAGTACATATATATATATATATATATATATATATATATATATTCACCATAGTGTGCAATATTTTTCATTAGTTTTTATATAAATTTTTATATAAGCTTAATAAAAAATTATATTATTTAAAATAATAAAATAAAATAAAATTAATCAAACAAGTAAATTTAGAAACTAAATCAAAAAATAAATTTATAAATTAGACAGATTTTAAACAAAAAAAAGGATAAACAGAAATGACATCCTAAATTCAATAAACACAATTATTCAAACATTTTTGTTCATGTTTTGTTCATTTGTTTCCAGGCCTTTTGAACTAAACTAAATTTTCAGTTCAATAAAGTGGAGGAACAATTACATTTTTGTTTGCAACTTTTTATTTAATTACTTAAAGAAATATAGTATTATAGATTTTAGAAATTACATCAAATTTAAAATTTTGTTCTAAAAAAGTTCTTTTTGTAAATATAACTGTAAATATAACTGCACATTTTTTTCTTAATTTTTAATTAAATGTTCTATATGAATAAAATGAAAGAAAAAATTTTATTTTTCACAATCTCATTCTTAGCCTTCTTTTTCCCATTTTTCATTGACATTTTTAATAATAAAAAAATATTACTTTTAAATTTAAAACAAATTAATACACTTAATTTTTAATGTGAAATGTTTTTTTCTATTAAAGTTTTAGATTATGTTTAAATTTTTTTTTTAAATAACTTGAAAAATTCTTGTTACAAATTATTAAATAACATTATATAAAATATATATATTAAAGTTAAAGTAGAAAATAATACTAATTTTCAATATCATTCAACAAAAAAAAAAAATTTAACAGATAGAAAATAAAAATATAACCCGAAAAAATCCAAATTTACCCAATAAAACCCAAAGTTACCCAAAAAAACCACTGGGCCAGGTTTTTTTTTTTAACTAGAATTTTGCCAATCCTGATGGGTATGTCAACCCTGAACCAATAAAAAATGGTTATTTAACAGCAAAATCAAAGAAGACAGAACAATCAAGAAATTTGTTTTAGAAGTAATTAATTCCAACACAAATTCAACATTAATTTTAACACAAATCTATGATGCCACATAAAATTGAATAGGAAATTGGTTATAGATCCTTAGGTGACAATGGGTTTAACCTGACCACAGCTTTATGTAACATAACATAATAAAACTTTTTTGGTAATTAAATAAAGGTAATGAAACATTATTTTTGTTTAAGATGATGAAAAAATGTATTACTAATAAATAAGGAGCCCATCTGCAAAACATGCCACAAAAATAAAATTCTGAGTTAATTCCATTTTCACATTTGATATACCGAAATCTATCATCTATTTAAATCTTAGACCTATTTATAATTTTTTGATCTTAAAAATAGACAAGTTTAGTTTTTAGTTGTTTTTTCATAATCAGTTTACTCAGACTTGGCACATTTTGAAAATGGGTTCATTTATTGAGACATTATCTCAAATTTTTCAATTTCACCGAATTTAAAAATGGCATAAGCAAAAATTTGAAAACAATTGGTTTATAAAACACAATTAAAAACATTTTTTTAATAAGTAATTATTTAAAACTTTAGTGTGGAATTTTATCTTAAATGTACGTACATCAGAAGGATAATCTGTTAGACAAGAATATTCATTTCTTTTAAACACTTCCATACTGCAGTTTGAAAAGCCTGGTCTGCTTGACCTGAAATAAAATATATAATACATAATACATACATTGAAATTAAATTTGTCTTTTCTTTTTTTTTTAATTTTGTAGAAAAAACATAATTTTTGCAAAAATAAATGCAACTTACTTTGCTCCACCCATAAAACATCCCCTACTTGTTAAACAATTGCAGGTTCCTAAAAAATAAATTTGTCAATGCTGTAGCTAATAAAAATTACAATAAAATATATTGCTAAAGCAAAAACTTAAAAAGTTGCTGAAAATTAGCAGTTTATGTAGCTTTAACATTAAAGTATTGAATTCATTTTTGAATGACTGCTTATTGAATTAAATTGTTATTGAATCTTGTAGTCAATTAATCAAATGTTATTGAATCTTGTAGTCAAGAAATGTCTTATTCATGATTCAAAAAAATCTTTTGCTCTCATTCTATCATTCCAACTAATTATGCATATAATAGCTCCCATGGTAACTACGGACACTGACCTCTTTAAAGTAATTTTAAAACAGTTATAAAAGGCACTTAGCACCCGAATGCTGATGCACACTAATCATTATTTTAAAACTAAGATAATTTCATGCATAGCTTTAACTCTGTTACCAACCATTTTTAACACCTTAATACATCAAAGTCCACCACACTTCCACTCTTATTACTGTTTACAAAAACTCTTTCAAAGTCCATAAGTGCCATCTATAAATCTGTTTTTTATTCCTAAAATTATTTGGGAGATTTAACTAAAGTAGCATCAGTATTTTTATTTTTTGGCCTAAAACTGCATGGTATTGTCAAACATGCTGCTTCTTATTTTGGTGGATATAGATATTTCTAAAATATCTTCATTACTTGGTCTAACAATTTTATTCCTCTATATGAACTAAATTCAGGTGCAGCTTTGCTTCCTTTATAAATCTTTATTACCTAACTTCTTCCAACCATTTAGGATTTTATCTTTAATAAGAAATCTTATATGCATTTAATGACAACATTTTTAAAAACATTCAGCATCTTGGCAATACACCAGAAATAATAGCCAAGTATTAGTTCTGCTAAACCACTAACCTTATTCACTATAAATAAATCTACCTTATTCCAAATAAATTCTTTGCTCAGCAATTTTTCAAATAAGCCTTGTTTTTGCCTCAAATTTATTTATATGAATTTTTATATTATAGTCTTTTAATATAGCATTTTGCAACAGCATCCCTTTTTTCAGAACCATTTGCTTTACAACTGTACATCTAGCACCTCACAAAATATCTTCTACTTTAATAATTTAGCTTCATATACAGTCTATTTTGTCTTGCACTTCACCAAGTAATCCAATAGCATGTCTTCATTCTCAGTCTTTTACAGACTTATACTACAGATGGTTAATCCCATAGCATATGAAAATTCTGACATTTCTTTTTCAATATCTCTTAGTCTTAACCTTTTCTGTCAGATACTTCCTCAAAACCATGTGACTGCACTAGGGATAATAATACCAGTAAAGGTACTGGTATTACAATCTAGTACCTGTTTAGTGATTGTAATACTGGTACTTGTTCATATGTGCACTGAGTTATGTAATTTCACTGATCTATCACATCACCTACCTTCTCCCACCACCAACCTCTCTTAGCTAAAACTTGGTAAAATTGTGTCTGTTTTAAGCATCAAATTTGCTAATGAAAGATTTTATTGATGTGTTTTGTATTTTGTAATTTGAATTGTTTGTACATTTGATATTTTTTCTAAAAACTTAAAAATTTTTTAATTTTATATTAATGTTACTAATGTTATACTAACGCCTTGCAGTTTCATTTATATTTAACCAAATAATCTTTAAATCAGTGTTACAACTAATAATTAACTATTCAAGAAGAGTTTGGAGAATGGAGAAAGCATTTTTCCTAAACCAAAAAGAGTCAAAAATCGAAACAAACACCCAGGTATTACAAAGTTAAATGCTGAGCATGTAACATCCATGCTCAAACAGTAGAATATGCTTCTGAAATGATGTAATTAATTTTTTTGAGGCTATTGGTATTAATTTTAATCCAGTTGAATGGATTAAAATTAATATAAAAAAAAAGACATGTTGCTTCACAACATAAACAACTAAGTTTCTTTGGTCCAATGACTCCCTCTGTTCATCTCAAAGACTATAAAAAGGTGCCTAAAATTGACAAATACAGATCAGAAACTTCAAAATGGTTTTTTTTTCAAGGTGGTTTAACAAAATTTAAATGTTTCATTTGCCTTTAATTAAATTTAAGGAACATGGGAGATTAAATTTAAGGAACATGGGAGCTTACTTAGGTAGCAAGAGTAAGTGTTTTTATCAAAATATATTGGACTCTAGACATCCTTATCAAGGATATAATAAATAGGATGGGGAACTAAGTTTTAGGGGTGAAAGTGACTTGCAATACACTTGCAAATCTAAAAGATCTTCAAAAGTTATTATTGGAATGCCAATATTTTAATATATTTTGCCATTAATTTATAACATGTTAAAATATTATGTTTAAATATTGCTAATATTTGCTTACATTGTTTGCTACTGTAATTCTTTTGATGCTTAAAATAGTCACAACAGTTACCATGTTTTGACAAAAAGAGGTTGGTGGTGAAAAAATGGTTTGAGGTGAAAGAAAGGTTGATAACTATACTGTTTCTATTTAATGATCAAAATAATTTTGCTGGTATAAACAACACTCACTTTCAACAAACAACTTTCAACCATAGATCATCTAGACCATATTTTAAAAATCCGGAATATTGTTTAAGTAAAGTATCTGGAAAAATTCAGGAATATATTTTTCTCTTAATTTTGCTTTTAGCTGAGTTGTTTCTAATTTTTATTTAAACTTTTCTTAGTTTTGTATGAGTGATGAGTAAAAAAGCTTAAAAAAGAAAAATATTACAAAAATATATACCTAAACTTGTACCTATGGGTAACATTTTGGATATCCGGAAAAATTTGAAGTTAAAAAAAATATCCAGAAAAAGATAATCCCTGTTTTCAACATTCTCTTATAATAGGATAACATTCAATGAATTTTTAGCATCCCTTATAACAGACAGAAAAAGAAAAATGATCCTCACTTGTTCAACTTGTTCACCTCACTTGTTCAACTTAGCATAAGTGTGAATTGTCAAATAGTCATTCAATTAAATCTTATACTTTTACTGTGTTTTTTTCTCAAACAACTAACAAAAGTTGTTTTAATCTTATACTTATACTGTGTTTCTTTCTTAAACAACTAACAAAAGTTGTTTTAAGATATTCAAATCTTATTTACAGTACTATTCCACAAAACATGTCATTGAATTCTCTCTTACGTTTATATTGTATAAATATCAAGCTTACGCAAATACTAAAAAAGTTTAGTACTTAACATCATTTCTATGTTTCTACTATATTTATTGTCTTTTAATTTATATATTACAGTTTAAAAAAAATAAAAAAGTGATATGAAATCTTAATTTTACAAACGTACATACCTTCATCATGATTAAATCCCATATTGTGTCCGAACTCATGACCAAGTATAACTGTTGGACCACTTATGCTGGTATAATCCCACTGTGGTTAAATATTTAATAATTTAAAAAAATTATTTTTAAGACAAATAAATTAATATCAACATCAACATTGAAGCACCAAATAAATTAATTCTGATAAATAATATCAACATAGAAGCACTTCTTTTACTAACAAAAAAAAAAAATTAAAACTTTACTGCATTAACGCTTCTAGCATTTCCACTACACATAGAGTTTACCCAAGCCATTCCAACGCTATCTGACCAACCTCCATGACTACAAAATGAACAATATTTTTTAAAAATCTTTGAAAATCCTTACATAACAATTTTATGCAAACTCTGCTATTGTTTTATTTGAAATAATTGTATATATTACACTGCTACATTTTGAGGTCATGCAAATATTTAAAGTACCATGGAGTCTTATTTGCTGCACAGACCCATATTTAATTAGTAGAGTATTTTTTATTTTGAATTTGGAACACTTTTAGGGGTTGCTCAAGTGCCTCAAAAGTCATATTTTAGATTTTTGAAACTTTTTTTTAGTCCATTTTTAGCACGCTTGAGCAAGCTCTATAACTCAAATAAATTATTTTTTTTCTTTTCAGAGTTTCTTCTTAGTTAAAAGACCCAAATAAAAAAGCATATGTAACATGGTAATTTTTTAATAGGAAATATTACATGTAAATCTGTCTACAAAATCGCAAGCTTATGGAATTTTTTTCCAATCATTGCATTGTTTTTTTTTTTTGTTTTCCTCGGTGGTCTAGTTTTTTTCTTTACTTGCTTTTGTAGTTGTTCAAGAATAAAAGCAAAGCCAAAAGTCTCTTTGTTTCTATCAATATCAATGTTGTCCCTTATGAGCAGTTTTTTCAGAGCAATGGTTAACAACAGCAAGATGAAAAACTGCATCCTGAATTTTTAGGTAGAAATTCATGCAAGTGCAATAATTGTAAGGGAAGGGTTCACCCATTAATAATTACTTTTACTTCAATCTATCATTAGAAACACAAGCCAAGAATTTTATGTGACCAATTGAACTAAACTTAGCAGCTTTAATTCACTGAAATTTGAAGAATTAAGGACCTCTATTTTGGCACTTATTTGGGCTTATGGATATTCACCAATGTTATGAAATTCATAACTGTATAGATTTTCAGCAATTTGACATCTTTCTTTACATTTTTCATCAGATAAGGCTATAGCACAACATTATGCTATAGCACAATAAAAAAAGGGTCCAGAAACCATTTGTGATCAGCATAGAAAAATCTTTATGTAATCTCAGCATAGAATGATCTCTATGAAGAGAATTATATAGGGTTTTATATAATTGGTTACCATTTTTGTAAAACAGTGTTTTTCCCTGATATAAATATATTTTTTTCCACTTTTGAGTCCAAATTTCTTTTAAGCTTTGAATAAAATGATGTTGAGAAGATTGAGGACTCCTGACGAAAACTTTATCAAAATATTATCACCAGTGGGTCTCTGAAAAAACAGCCAGATAATCGATATCTGAATTTGTTGGTACCTATGTAGTATGTAATATACAGCAATTTATTCTCAATGAGAATTTTTCTTTTTTTCTAGTAATCAGCAAATTTTTTAGAATTTCCTGATTGCTTGATTCTACAGTAGATGCTACATAGTACATATTAAATATTTACTGATATTTATATTTTTTGTGAGATATTTATTGATATTTATACTTTTTATGAAAAAAGAGTAATATATTACCCTTTATTACACAAAATATACATACCTATGTATATTTGTTATACCTGTATATTTAGATTTACTTTTATTTTTTGGGTGGGGGTAGAAGAAATAATTATGTTAAGCTTACACTTATATACTTCTGAGGGCAATTACAAGTTTTGTAATCCCTAGCAGTCCATCAATTTTTGTTTCATGGGAAAAGGTAGGAAATCATCACTTTATGGCAAATGGAAGGATTTTCTTGCATTTTAACAAATACTTAGCTTTTTAATAAATAAGTATATATAATAGATTCATTTTTTGGTATCTACTACCTAAAACTCCAGGTTTTGATGGATGCAATAGCTATTCTTGGATAACAACTAATAAATGAAATTACTGAAATGGCAACTTTAGCGGTTGTCTTTTAAACTACTGGTTTCTAATATATATATATATATATATATATATATATATATATATATATATATATATATATATATATATATATATATATATATATATATATATATATATATATATATATACACGCACATTGTGGGTAAGGTCAGAAGCTTGTAAATTATGGATAGAAATCCATGTCCAAAAAATAATTCAAAAAACTGCTATAAAAATATATATTGTACAAAAATGAAATAAAAAGTAACAGTCAAAAATTTATTGAAGGATTGCGATTGTAGACATGCTGCACTGCTAATAACAAAGTAATAAAAAACTTGATAAAACTAATCCCTATAGTTAGTCTATTTACACTTAATAAAAATATTATTCATAATTATAGTTAATAATATAAAGTCGTTTTTGTTTTACATAAGTATATATATATATATATATATATATATATATATATATATATATATATATATATATATATATATATTTACCTATGTAATATATATATATATATATTTATTTACTTATGTAATATATATATATATATATATATATATATATATATATATATATATATATATATATATATATATATATATATATATATATATATATACATATATATATATATATATATATATATATATATATATATATATATATATATATATATACATATATATATGTGTGTGTGTATGTATGTACGTATGTATGTATGTATGTATGTATGTATGTATGTATGCATGTATGTATGTAAACAAAATATTTAGATATATATGTAAATATGTTAAAATATAATACATGTAATATAGAGTATTGGTGTTAAGCATTATGATTTTTATCATGGTTACCAATTGAAATGGTAGGCTCTCTTGTCAAACCCTTATTCCGACGCTGTCCTTAAGGTCCGAAAATGTAAAAAAACGACTTCTTCATTTAAAAGAGAACCTGTCTACCCCAAACCCTCAGTCGCTGTTTGCACACTCCATTGTATGTTCTCTCTAAAAATCAGTTGGTGTATGTGTACACCGCTGCGCAAATCCCTATATACCCCATTTTGCTATTTCCTAGAAATACGAGTTTGCGGACGCAAAGGACGCTTAACGTCAGAATAGGGGTTTGACAATAGTGCTTTCCCATTGAAATGAGTAAACAAAAATCTTTGAAAATTCAAAAAAAAATTCAAAATTTTCAATCAAAATCCTTCCTTGTCACAAGTTGAAATTTCGAAATTGATGTACTTTGGTTTATAAATTGTAAGCCCTTTATAAGACTTCCATAAAGTTTTTAGCCATAAACACTCCTAAAAAGTTAATTTGTAAACTTTTTAGGAGTGTTCATCTTAGGAGTCATTTAAAGTCATTTTTAATAATTTTAAAAATATGTAGTTATATTAAAAAAGTATATTCAACTTTATCTGGTTTATAAACATAGTTTTTAGAAATTTTAAAGAAAACTTAGGTATAAACTATTTATTTACTTTGTTCAACTCTCAGTTTACTACATTGGAAATTATTTTGATAAGATTTATTGAAATAGAATTTGAGTATGTATTTATTTTTAAATTGAAATATATTAATTTAATGTTTATTCAGAAATAAAATAATATCTTAAATATCTTTTTTATTGTATTCAAAAAATAAATAATTTTTTTTTTTTTTTTGGGAAGGGGTACAAATCATTCCTCAGACCGGTTAGCATAAATTGTGTCCCAAATCCACTTCATATTAACAGCAACTTTTGGTAATCCTTAGTTATATCAATTTTAAAGTAATCTATTTAATACAAGTAATTACCTCAAAAACATAGCATCATCAAAATCAACATCTTTGAAAGATGAAGTTGTTTTTATCACGTTGTTAACATATTCTCTAAATGAGCCTAATTCAGCTCCACCTGTTGGAAAACGTGTAAATGCAGGTTGATTTTCTTGAATATCAATTGCAACAACTACTATTCGTACATTAATGGCTTGATATGCCTAAAAAATAAAAACATATTTTTGCTACTTAAAATAATAATTAAACTAATTTTATTTTCTAAATGTTGTACAGTCAAAAAAAAGTATGAACAATAAATTCTTACATTTTATAAAAACATTAATAAACTCTGGAAACAATCATTTATTTTCAGATACATAATTTTGATTTAACATTGTTAATTTTTTTATCGTGTCTGCCTTGTATAATTTTCTGAGTTTTGACACTTTTCATTTAATCAACAAGACTCTTGTTGATGTATGTAAACAATAAAAAAAGTAAAAACATTCAGAATGTTCAAAAGCATTCCATTATTGCATTTTTGTGTTTTTTTAAAAAATAATAAATTTTAATTAGTTTCCTCTCTTAAATTCAATGGTTTTTACATAAAGTGTACTTAAATTTTTTTTTTAAATCTTCACTTTTAACAAGGCTGTAAGCAACCACTATTAGAGTTGGAAGTTATTAAGAGAGAAAATATGAAGTTTATAAAGCAAGATAACAATTAAAAAACAACTTAAAAGATTGCAAATTATATAAATCAGGGAAACGAGATGAATGGTGTGATTTCCAAAAACTGATGTTCAAGGAAAAAAAAAACTAAACAAAATATTTGGACCACTTAAGAACAGATACAGTAGAAAGATGAGACTTAATTGAATGATGAGTAACAGGAGAATGAGTTATAGGAGATGGAACAAGAGACCCTAGCTCTTTAGAGCAGCACCCATTATAGTATTTACAATATTCTATAAAAAGAACAACAAAGTGCAAATGCACAATTAGTAATATTCTTTATAAATCATTTCATTGCAGTTTGCGACAAAAACTTACACAAAAAAAAATTAAAAAAAAATTTAAAGAAAAAAAAGATTAGTTACAGTTAAAAGGACAATTGTTCTTAGTTAACTAATATACATCAATTGTTATATATTAATAATAAAATAATGCACGAATACTTTTATCAAAATAATAAAATCAAAACTTTTATCAATATTATTATGATTTTTAACACCAATAAAATGAAACTTATCTAAATAAGTGAAGCATAAAAGTTAACAGATATAGTTTAAGTCACATATAATATTTGTCAACAAAGAAGCATACCTAATACAATAAAACTATTTTGCACAATTTTCAAAAATTTAAATGACTTTATGAAACTTTAGTTTATCGTTTTTCGAATTATATCCTGATTATTTGTTAAACATTTTACAAAACTCTAATTTCAACTGCTCAACCATATACTGGTTGACTAACTAGAACTCATTTTAGGAGTTTAAAATAGCAATTTTATTCATTTCAGGCAGTCATTGATCGGCTGATTTATTTGATTGAGTTTAATTCATATTACATATATTTATATATATATATATATATATATATATATATATATATATATATATATATATATATATATATATATATATATATATATATATATATATATATATATATATATATATATATATATATTATTTACATACTTTTTTAATTAGTTACTTATTCTAATTGGTTAATTCTATTGTACCAGCCAATCATGTAAAAAGTGAAAAGATGTTCAGAAAAACATAGTAAACAAAAAAAAAATCATACTTATAAATAATTTAAAATAAAAAATATGCAGCAAACTAAACCTAAAAAATTTATTATAAAACATAGCTTAGATAAAAACTGATAATCTCATCAATTTAAACATTACTTAAAACTCCTTTTTTTTTTTAGCATTATTCTGCTGTAAAATTATCATATTTTTATGTGAAGTAATAATGTAATAGTTAAACAAGAATATTTTATATATTAAATAGAGTAAAACAGGGTAAAATAAAATAGTGGGTAGAATGAAATAGTTATGACAATGTTTATTCTTTTGCTCTTAATTAACTATTGAATAATTTTTTTGCAAATATTTTTTGATTATATTTTAGAGAATATTTTTAAGTAATTTTTAGTAAGATTGTATGAAATTTTATTTTTAATAAAAAAAATGTTGTTATAAATTGAAAAGTTTTCGAATGCGTAATAAGATTTTTTATTTGTTTGAAAAAGGACTTTAAACTCTCGGAAATTAAATTTGGTATCATTGAACTTAAAATGTTTACTGATAGAACTTTTTACGCTGATCAAGAATCTTTTTTCAAAATTAAAGTTGCTGTTTAGGAAAAAAAGTTACAAGTTAAAAACGGAAAGGAAGTGTTGTGGGGTTGAATGAAATATGCAAATAAATAAAAAAATACAAAGCAATAGCTTATTTTTTAAAAGCGTTTTTTTTAATTAGGTCCTAAGTGACCAATAAATCTCCAACTATAAATTTTTTGTATAAATTTCAAATAATTTTTCTTGTATTGTATAAATTTCAATGAATTTTTCTTGTATTGTATAAATTTCAATGAATTTTTCTAACTGAATTTAAATGACTTTTAATTACTGCTTTTATAAAATGGTTCTAATAAATGAATAAAATACGCTAGTTACTCTCTTGTTGTGGTCACCTTGTCTGCAAACAACCTTCAATATTGTAGTAACTCCGGCTATTCAGAAGGAAGTTCAAAGAGGTTGCAAAACAACTACAGCCCAAACTTGCAGCAGCTTTGCAACAAATGTTTTGTATACAACACATTGACACAAAAAAAAGAAAAAATGTAGATGTACCAAGATTCGAAGGGGAGTGTCTCAACAAACCTAAAATTCTTGAAAGGTTAAAAGATGCTAAGAGCAAAAAAGCAGCAAAACAAGCTAAAAAACAATGTAAGCTTAGCTCTAATGGAGAACAGCAAATTAAACTAAGCAAAAAGTCTGACGAAAATATTAGCTGCACACCAATTCAAGTGTAAAAAGTGCCGAAAAGTTTTGGGCAAAACTTCAACAAGTCAAAATATGGAATGGTACTAGTGTGAAAATTCAAATTGCAAGGTTTGGCTCTGTCAAACATGCATATCAAAAGGATACATAAAAGGCGCTGAGTTTTATTGCACCAAAAAGTGCCGCACAAGTAAAAACTCAACCTCTAGTACCTCTAAACGACTCAACATCATCACAAGAATAAAAAGTTTATTTGATTTGATTGATTTTTTAAACTGTTATTATTGATTGTTTTTTTAATTGTTATTATTGATTGCTTTTTGTTTTTTTAATAAAGTGTTGTTTTAATTACACTTATATTTGCGTATTTCATTCTCCCCTAATGTCAGTGTAGAATGGAATATATATATTTTTTTTAATCAAATAAAGTTTTATAAAAAACTTAACAAAAAATTTGTTACATTTTTATATATTTAAATACAGCTCAATACTCTCTAAAACTTTAAAAAAAAAAAAAAGGAAAAATCTTCCATTTGACCCCATTTTACTCTAGTATGTATTTATATATGTTTTATATATTATATAATATTTACTTATATAATATAGTTTATATAATAAATAATATGTATTTATATAATATTGTTTTAAATTCATTAAAAATCAGTTTATAATTGTTGCTAAATAATGAGCAATTATGGACAGAAGAATTTGTTTGATTTAAATGATCTTTTGAATTAAAGAATTTCAAATTAAAAGAATTTTCTAAGTCACTCACTAATACTCGTGGTCTTTTTGTGATTTTTCCCCTTTGAGTCTTATCTCTTGCAAAGTTCACCAGACCTACTTGCTCTTTGTGAGACTAATTTAGGTCAGGTCAGGTTTTCCTGCTACTGGTAACATGTAACCCAGTACAACCTGCTCCATGTCCTGCTGCCTTGTAGGATACGCTTTTTTAGGCAAAGGCTAGGAGAAGTTAACTCCGAATTAAAACACCCCCTGCCTTGGGGCTCTTGGTTGAGTAAAGGCTAGAGATGGTGTCTCGATAAAAATACTCATCTTGGGCAGATGTTACATGCATCCAGCTGCTGTCTTGTAGAAGGCCTCCTAGGCAAAGACTTAAGGGGTAAACAGATTCTATCTGTTGACCAGCCTCGCACCCCTTCCTCATCTATTAGGCTGGCGCAGATGTATTTTTAATACATTGTTTCCAGTTTAGGATGTTGAACGCTGAATCTTCTTGACTCAATGCGTGGGTATTGCTTGTGTCTCTATTTTTATGACTGGGCAACTGATTCTATTATCTCCTAATGAAGGTACAGCTCTAAAACTCAGTTTTATGGTTCTGAGGCCGGCTGGTAGTCAGGTTTCCCGAACTCTGTGGTAGCTCTCAGAGAGGCTGATTCCATCAACAGCCGAAAAATATCAGAGTACTAACAGTGCCATGTTGCGCATGGATGGTGTCCCTGTTTGTACTTTAGGTGTGCATTGCAGAGGCCACATTTGGAGCCCTTTGTTACGGCTTAGGGTTTATTAATAGTAATGAGGCTATTGCTTAGTTGTTAAATAGTGTACTGAGTACTATCTATACTTTAGTCAAGTTCTTTATAAATTTAAAATGACTAAAGTACCTAAAATTAAAAAACACAAAAAACCATTGTCATCACCAAGTTCTCTAAACCTATCATTTACTAATATTCGTGGTCTTCGAAGTAACTTTTCTTCTGTTGAGTCTTATCTCTTGCAAAGTTCACCAGACCTACTTGCTCTTTGTGAGACTAATTTGAGTTCGGCTGTCCCATCTTGTGATCTTAGTGTTAATGGTTATCTTCCTTTAATTCATAAAGACTCCAATAATCACATGCTTGGCCTGGGCATCTACGTTCGTAAGAACTCACCCATTTGCCGTGAAACTAGGTTTGAATCTACAGACTATTCATTTATGTGCTTTCGTTTAGCACAACTTCACTCTATCGCCTTTCTCTTTGTTCTATATTGCTCTCCTTCATCCCAAGACTGCACTATTCTTGATGTTATTTCTGATCAAATTGACCAAGCCCTCTCTCTTTATCCATCGGCCAATATCGTCGTTATTGGTGACTTTAATGCCCATCACACCGATTGGCTTGGCTCTAGTGTCAGTGACTCTGCTGGCGTTAAGGCCCTCAACTTTTGCCTTTCTCAATCTCTAACTCAAATAGTCAACTTTCCAACTCGTTTTCCAGACAACCCTAATCATTTACCTTCTCTACTCGACTTATGTCTTGTTTTGGATCCTAGTCAGTGCTCAATTTCTCCACATTCACCCTTAGGTACTTCTGATCACGGTTTGATCTCTCTAAAACTATTATCAAATTCTTCTACTTCATCAGAATCCCCCTATCATCGTACCACATACAACTACCTTAAAGCTGACTGGGACTCTTTCCGTGATTTTCTTCGTGATGGCCCTTGGGTAGAAATCTTTCGTCTTCCTGCTGACAAATGTGCTTCTTACATAACTTCGTGGATTCAGGCTGTCATGGAATCTTTTATTCCCTCTCGACGATTCCAGGTCAAGCCTCACTCTTCTCCTTGGTTTTCCTCACATTGCGCTGCAGCAATTTCTAATCGAAACTGTTACTTCCATATCTATCAGCAAAACAATTCTCCAGAAAACAGACATCTGTTCACTATTGCCAGAAACCATTGTAAAAAGGTTTTGTCTGACGCCAAAGCTCGCTATTCCCAGGTCATTAAATCTTGTATCTCATCACAAAAATTAGGCTCTCGAGACTTCTGGAGAATCTTTAACAGTATCAATAATAAGGGCAAATCTGTTATTCCTTCTCTCTTGTATGGTTCAGACTTTGTCACCTCACCTAAAGACAAAGCTGAATTGTTTGCTAAGAACTTTTCATCAATATCATCTCTTGATTCCACTAGTTGCGTTTTACCTGACATAGCCGTCAAACAGGTTGATCCCTTGCTTGACATTCGCATCACTTCAGCTTCTGTATCTAAAGTAATTTCTTGCTTAGACTCTTCAACAGCTTGTGGTCCTGACAACATTCCTGTTGTAGTTTTGCAGAGGTGTTCTCCGGAGCTTTCATCCATACTTTCTAAACTATTTAACAAGTGCTTATCAGAGTCTTGTTTTCCATCATGCTGGAAAGCAGCATCTGTTATCCCTATTTTCAAAAATTCCGGAGAGCGATCTGATTCATCTAACTACCGTCCCATTAGTCTTCTTCCTGTCATAAGCAAGGTTTTTGAATCTTTAATCAACAAACACTTAATCTCTCATCTTGAATCAAATAACTTACTTTCTGATCATCAATATGGATTTCGGTCTTCTCGTTCTACAGCTGATGTGCTAACAGTAATAACCGATAGGTTTTACCGTGCATTAGATAGAGGTGGAGAGGTTAAGGCTATCGCACTTGACATTTCTAAAGCTTTTGATAAAGTTTGGCATGCTGGTCTTCTCCATAAGCTTTCTTCTTATGGTGTAGCTGGTAACGTCTTTAAGATTATTGAGTCCTTTCTTTCCAATCGTAGTATAAAAGTTGTCCTCAATGGACAACACTCTTCTTCACACCCTGTAACTTCAGGGGTTCCTCAAGGTTCAATCCTTGGCCCTATACTCTTTTTAATTTACATTAACGATCTTCCAGATATTCTTACATCTAAGGTGGCATTATTCGCTGACGACACTACCATTTACTCTTGTCATGATAAGAAGCCTACACTCTCTGATTGCTTGGAGGGGGTATCTGAGCTTGAAAAGGATCTCACTTCTGCTACAGCATGGGGCTCACAGTGGCTGGTGAACTTTAATTCAGATAAAACTCAATTTTATTCGGCCAATCGTTATCGTAATAATTTAGATCTTCCTATATTTATGAATGGTAATGTACTAGATGAGTCATCTACCATTCATCTTCTAGGATTAACTCTTACTTCTGATCTTTCTTTTAAACCGTATATCAAATCCATTGCAAAATTAGCATCTGCTAAGGTTGCATCTCTTTATCGAGCTCGACACTTTCTTACTCCAGATTCTATTCTCTATCTCTATAAATCACAAATCCGTCCCTGTATGGAATACTGTTGCCACATCTGGGGCGGATCTTCTAATGATGCTCTTTCTCTTTTAGACAAGGTGCAAAAACGAATTGTAAACATAGTTGGACCTGCTCTTGCAGCCAATCTCCAACCTTTGTCACATCGTCGTAATGTTGCTTCTCTTTCTCTTTTCTACAAATACTATAATGGGCACTGCTCTAAAGAGCTAGCGTCCCTTGTGCCATCTACTAAAATTCACTCTCGTTTTACTCGCCATTCAATTAAGTCTCATCCTTTTTCTGTGACTGTTCCTAAGTGCTTCAAAAACTCTTATTCTTCTAGTTTTTTTCCTCGAACATCAGTTCTTTGGAATTCGCTTCCTTCATCTTGCTTTCCTGATTCATATAATTTGCAATCTTTTAAGTCATCAGTCAATCGTTATCTTGCTCTACAGATTTAGTCTTTTCTCTTCCAGTAACTTCCAACTCTTATAGTGGTTGCTTGCAGCCTTGTTGGAAGTGAAGATGTTAAAAAAAAAAAAAAAAAAAAAAAAAAATTTTTGACAGCCCATAAATATGTGAACTCATTGAAACTTTTTATCTTAATCAATTTTAAACATTTTAACTAAACAAATTTCAATTTCAAAAAAAAAAAAAAATTTAAAGCAATGAAACAAATTAACATGTTCTATGATTATTCAAAATTTTACTTTCTTTCTTTTTTTTTTTTTTTCAGTTTACTTAAAACTAACCTTGTCAACTTGAGCATATGCATTTAAAACTCTTTCAATTAACAGAGAGCGATTGTTGTTATATGTTGGTAACTAGAATAAAGAGACAAAAATAGCAGTTTGAATAAAAAAACTTTAAATTGAATCAAAGTTAAAATGTAAAAATGAAAACATTTATGTCAAAGAAATATGTAAAAATTAAAAAATTTATTACAAAAAATATATAAAAAATTAAAAAACTGAAACTAAAAATTTTTTTTATAACTTTAACAGTCGAAGACCTTAATGCTAAAATTACTTAAATTGCATTATGGACAAAATCAAACTTACTAGAAATCATTTCTAATACGGTTAAGCTCTATATAATGTATAAATTGGAAAAATGTACCTATGCCCCATATTGTATAATGAAAACCTGCATTTATCTTAAAAAAAAGTTTTGTTCAAAACCTAAAATGCTTGAAGTTGGATAAACTTGTACTTATTCATAAAGCTTTTACCCATTATGCATTATTTACTTTATGTTACTATCCAATAAAGCAACAAATTATCTTCAGTGAAGATAATTTATTGCAGTTTGTGAAAAACAATATTTACTTTTCTTTTTTTGTTATATTATAAAACATATGCATGGCTTAGTGAGCAAACTGCTAGTATAATTTTGTAATATTCATGCTATGATATTTGTATGTCAACATACTTATATTTTTTATGTATTATATGCCTAAAGCTTGATTCCTAACAGTAACTGTTAATTACTGTTATATTTTATTTTAATTACTAAATAATATTTTTATTATTCAATTTTATTTAAATTATACAGTTGATGATTAGTGCCAAAATTTAGAAGTTTTAAGCATTGTCTAAGAGTTGTGTTTTTGATTGGTTCAGTTATTCATAATGTGTTACATGCAAGTTACTTTTATTTGTTTTAAAAAAAAATTCTAAAGGTATTTAAGGTTTGCTTGAAAAAAGTTTGTAGTATTATTTGAATTTATTTAGATCAAATCTTGAAAAGTATTTGTTAGTTAAAAAAAATCTTTGAAAAGTCTTTGTTAGTTGATGATTTACAAGTTCTTACCTCAATAGATTTGTATGTTAATGCAATGTTTTATTCTAATATCAAATATTTAACATATATTAAATATTTACATATTTCCTTATAGAATTACATTGCCAATGCTATAGTACTGGGCTCCATAGTTTTGGATGTCTTGGTTCATAGAAAATTATATTTAAAAAAAACTCTGAAAATAAAATTTTTGATAAATCATGGAAAGAGGTTTCCTGCTTTAAAATAGCCTCGGACCCCAAAAAATTGTAATCCACCACTGTACATTTCTATAATATATTATATCTTATATGCAATTCAGGAATAAAAATTTTCAATAAAAAGCAATTTGCTAATTAAGGGGATCATTTTGGAAAAAATGAAAACTTAAGCATAAAATTTACAGAACATTGCGCGATATTGTTCACAAAAAAATTCAAAGATTTTTGAATAACACGGTTGAAAAAATTAAAACTGTATTTGTTATAAAATCACATTGACAAATAGCTTTAATAGCAAAAGCTTGTTCTCTCTAAATATCAAAGTCCATGCCTATGATTCAAGGTCATTTTGTTAATTATTTTATTAAAAAAGTTCATGGTAAATAATGCTATTATACTATTTCTTTGATAGGTTAGTTTAATTTGTTAAATATCCATTGGTTAAAAATGGCGATTTGGCTGTCATTCAGGACATGCAAAAAGTAAACAAAGTTTAATAATAAAAAAACCACCGACATTCCATTTTTAATACTTTGTTAACAAAGAAAGGTCATCGAATACGTTTATATACTGCAATCAGTTCGAAGGTTGTGATTCTATTTGCTTGTTGACTTCAATTTTTATATCTTGTCCTTCATGTAATACTGTGTCCAAGTGTTAAAATAATTTTTAATTAGTGAACATTCTGAGTTTAAAACATTTTTTATTTCCAAAAGAGAATAATGTTGAGTACAAGTAAAGAAGGTAATGCTAGCTAGACTACCCGCAATTTTTGAATCACGTCAATCTAAAAAGATTCCAAAGTGCAGCATTTGAAAAGGACAAAGGTTCAACTAGCGTACAAGTTTAAACAAGTGGACTTCACCATGTCATTTGCAACAGAGTACCAGAATGAGATTCAATCTGCATTGTGGTCAAGAACTAGCGTTCTTCTATTTACAGCAGCGGTTTTTTATAAAGGAATTTGCAAAACCTATTTGATTCTATCTAATAGTCACAATAAAGTTTTTGTATTTATCAAACATTTATATTCTCTAATTAAAGATCAAAATTCTGATGAACACGTCCAAAATGTCATCTGGAGCGACAGTCCCTCATCAGAATTTAAAAACAAATACATGATTAAGTTCCTTAGTTATTTGAGTAGAGCATACAATCAGCAATTTACTTGGAAATATACATCAACTTCTCATGGGAAAGGTGTGGTTGACGGTGTGAGAGGAAATGTCAAAAGACTTGTAAAACAAAAAATGCTATCTCAATCAGATGTTGAAGTTCAATCTGCTAAGGATTTTTCTGAATTAGCGTCACAACTAGTAACTTCTACTAAAATTATTTACATTTCTGAAGAAGATTTTAAATCGCAGATTGACACTTTCAGACCATGGCTAGATGTCATTCCAATTACCGGCATATCAAATTTTCATATAACATCTTGTGATTCAAAGACAATTCGAGCTAAAAAGCATGATTTAGATGGCAAAGATCAAGTGTTCTTTTGCAAATAACTATTTTTAATTCTTATGTTTGTACGCGTTTGTCAGGTAACAAAACTGTCCTTCACGTAAGTTTACTATTTACTATATTTTATTAAAAACAGATTATTTTTCAAGAATCAAAAATTATACTTTTGTTTTCATTAAACTCTACTCTATTAACAATTGAAGAAAAAAGTTGTATTTTCTTAATAATTTGCTGAATTTTTCAAATGCATTTACTTAATTGAAAATGCGGTATTTTATTTGTCCTACACGTAATGCGAACAAAATGTTACAAAAATCAAATCATTTTAAAATGTCAAAGATAGATTTTACTGTATATTTAAGCAACATTAAAATTTTTTTTAACTATTTTTTATTTAATTAATTTTTTGGTTCCTTGTATAATTTAATATTTCATTTCCAAACAGTGTACAAATGTCCTTCACGTAATCATGTAATGCTCCAATGGTGTATTTGTCTGTCATATGCCTTCAATTGTTCTGCACAAAAAATCATACACATTTTCATTTCAAATCATACATTTTCTTATATATGTTAAAAATCATACAGATTTTTGACATATATAAGAAAATGTATGATTTGAAATAAAAACATGTGTGCAAAGTAAACAGTCTGTTTACTTTGCACACAAGAGTTTTTTGACTCAGTCATAAAACTCTTGTGTGCAAAGTAATATTTTCTGTGTAAAACTACGTAATATTGACTACGTAATATTGACTGTGAAAAATTTACAATAATAGGACAAAAAGTCAAAAAACTAAACTATCAATATCTTTTAAAGGATAAAGGTTTAAGAGTTCAAAATAAGCAGGTTTATTCATTACAACATTGCAAATATGTCGCAAATATTGAGGTCTGTTGGCACGCCTTGCCTAATTTTAAAATCACTTTGATAATTTTAAATGGATTATATTGAAATTTGTATTTTTTGACATAAATACTTTTAGCCCTCTAGTCTTCAGTTTTAATTAAAACTAAAACTTTGCAACAAATTTATAACCTCCTCTTAAAATCTTTTTTATGGTTTTAAATAAAATAATATTTATAATTTTGCTTGGCTGCTTAAAATAAAAAATTATAAATTTTTATTTTTAAAATTTAAAACTTATTAGTTTTTACACTTATATAGTTCCATATAAAATTAACAAAATTAACAGTGACTAAACAGAAAAAGGAACTCTAAGGATATTTGATTTATGTTAAATATAAAGGTTGTTCAATAATTAACCAGACAAATTTCTATTAATCAAAAATGGTTTTTTCAGTCAGTACATAAATTTTGTTATTTTTTAACAGAGCCCCCAGCAACGCTTATACACTTGTACCATCTTTCTGCTAATTTGTAAATGGCCTTGGCATAAAATTTTTTGGGTTGATCCTAAAACCACTTGTCTGCCTGATTTTTGACCTATTTATTGCATTGAAAATGTTTACTCATAGACCAAACAGATGGAGCAAGACCCTCTTTAAGGGGTGTGATGGGCAGATGATTGGGGTCTAAAAATCTGAGAATACTATAAGCATGACTTTATCAAACAATGCCTGAACTTTTTTTGAATGGGAGAAGTATTATGCTTCCACTCAAGGCTCTGTAATTTTGACTCATAGACTCATAGTGGTGGATCCATGTTGTATCCAACTTTAGAATTCTTTTAAAAAATATTCTCCTTCAGTCTCATATTGTTGTTTGAGTGATTTGAAGGTGGGTTTCTTTGTGAACAATTGTGAGCTGTTTGGTTACCTATTTTGCACATGTTTTGTGAATAACTTTATGGACAGTTTCAACACTTTTGTTTATTTTTTCACTTATCAGTTCATCTAACAAGTGAAAAAGTAAATGAAAAGTGTTGAAATTATCCATAAAATTATGTAAACTAATTAGTAGTAAATTTGATAATTTTTTAAAAATTATTTAGGAAACAAATTATTATTTATAACAACAAACTATTTCACTCTTACTTATAGTAAACTACTTTATCCAAACTTTTTATTATTATTTATTGTAAATTACTTCATACAAACTTTTTTATTTTTATTTATTGTAAATTACTTCATACAAATTTAAATTTAAAATATTTACCATTCTGTGATCGCAGCTAACAAACATTTCAACATAGAGTGTTTTGTTTCTAGTAATATAAGGAAGATATTGTGGCTCAACATCAACTAATTCAATTGGTCCCTGAAAAAACAATAAAACAATAATTTAATTGGTCCCTAAAGGAACAATAAAACTATAATTCGATTTATCCCTGAAGAAATAATAAAACCATAACTCAACTGGTCCCTGAAAAAACAACTATATTTAATATTGAAAATAAAGATAATAACACTTAACATTTATAAGTACACAATACAAGCCTTATAAACTTACAACTGAAAAGGAAATACTTCTTGATGTTCTTTTCTTGATATTTTTTTCTTGTTTAGTACTTACTAAGAAAAAGTTAAAAGTTTTTAAAAAATATATAAAAAATTATATAAATAATATTTATATAATTTTTTATATATTTTTTTATATAAATTATATAAATAATATCTTTTTCAATTAAACAAATGTAAATAAAATATAAATAACATTTCAAATAGGGTAAGTTATAAATACATTTAATAATAAATAATTCATTTATAAGTCATTGATATTTACATTTCTTAAAAGTGACATGCAGCAGATTACATTCATAGAAAATCAAATTCAAAGAAAATTTAAATAAAACTTGTTTTTTCTTAAAAAAACTATATTGTTATGATCTAATATCCTGAAATTGCAAAAACTTTGTACTTGGCAAAAACTCTAGATTGCAGAGTAGATGCAGAGCTAACAGAAGAATTAGTAGCAGTAGTGACAGAATCACAAGAGATGCACTAGTAAAAGTCAAAATCACTAGAAGTTAAAGTAGTATTTAATAAAAATTCCTAGCAAAACTTGTATTCTTAACAGTAGAGAAAGCGCTGAGAGAAGTTGACAAGACAACAGCTCTTACATAGAAAGAAGTAATAGAGTGGTTTGTATCAACCTTTCACTCTTTCCTTTAGTCGTTTAAGATGCTTTCCTTTTACATTAGTTAATTTCTGTTGCAAAGACACTAAAGTAAATCATAGAAATCATTATATAACCCTGCTACAATTATAACAAACCTCTTTTTAATCTAGTTTGAAGCTAAAATAACAAACGATAAAACAATAACTTTCATTTACTCGACTAGATTATTTAGAACTGATGAAAAGATGAATTCAATGGTTATAATGACTTTATAACAAGTTTAATTTTTTATAGAAAATATAGTGTAGAAATGATTTACAATTATTTGCTGCATTTTAATTTTTTTCACAAAATATTTTTCTTTACACATTTAAAAAACAAAGTTTTTATAAATATCTTTAAATTGTTAAAAAATATGTTTAATTAGAGACGCATTAAAACAAAAAGTTGCACCAAGACCCAACTTGTCTACAGCTAGGATATATATTTAGATGTGTATATTTTAGTGTATTTTATACTTCATTATATATAATAAATAATTTATATGTATATTAGCTTTTAGGAAAAGTAGTCATGAATAGAAAAAATAGAAAAATTTTGATTGATATAATCAGAAAAAAATGATTATGCTTCTCCGTAATTGTCTTATGATTCTTTTTAAAGGTATGTAAATACATACATTTTTATTTAGGTTTATAAATTATCCAAAAAAATTTAAAGATTTAAATAATTAAAAAGAAGTTTTCAATTATCAACTTAATGACAAACGAAATAATAAAGTAATGAAGTAAATTGAAGAGGTTTAATTAAAATCATGTTTTTTTTTTATTACAACAAACTTGTAGAAATTTAAAAATCAAGACTGGATTTACTGCTTGCTTGGATTTAAAATGTAAAAGCAAACTTAAATATTTGAATGAACTATAGTCATAATAATATTTTATGACAATGAATGAAAAAATAATTGTAAGTATTCTTCATTTTCACGATAGCCTGCAATGCTTGCGGTCAATTTCTTTTTTGTAATTAAACAACATTTGTTGTTGTTACTGCTGAGATTTTGTATTTTTGTACTTAAATTGCTATATTATTTTAAAAATAGCTATTTAATGCCCACCATTGAAAAATAAATATAAATTCAAAAGAATACTCTTGAAATGATAAGTGGAAATAATATTAAGATTAATTCTTAATACATCTTTGAAAATCGGAACTTAATTTTCCATGTTGTTATGAAACTACGTCTAATTTTGAGTTGATTTCATATTTATCTTTAATATATGCTACATACAGTATTTTATTTTATTTTTAGCCCTGTCTAATCAATTGTGTCTAATCACAATCCTGGAATACATTTTAATCTCAGTGGAGGGAAAGGGGAAGATGGGGAAACATTTTGATAAATTCCCAATTTCATCAAAACACTGTATCAAATTTATTTCTGGTTAACACCCTGTTTACATATATATATATATATATATACATATATATATATGTATATATATATATATATATATATATATATATATATATATATATATATATATATATACATATATATATATATATATATATATATATATATATATATATATATATATATATATATATATATATATATATATATATATATACACACACACATGCCTGTGCGGCAAAGGAGGGGGGGGGGGCGGGGTAAAAAGGAACCCCTTTTTTCAATAATTCTGTTTGTTCCATGCTTTCACAAGTTTTATAACAAAAATTAAACAAAAATTTTATTGGATGCCTTTTTTTTTAAAAACGAACCCCCTAATAATTTTATTTTTACCA